ATATTCGATATTCGATGCCCAATATCCAACCAGCCGGAACAATATTCAAAATTTCTCAATAAAAAATAATATAAAAGTAGATATTTAAAAGAATTCTGGAAATGATAATCATGTTGAAAAAGTAGTTCTATGCGAGGGGAAAAACCCTCTATATAAATCTTTTTCTGGCTCTAACAGATAATCGTAAATTAACATGAGGCAGGTGTTACCTGTGAAAGGGGACGAAGTCAGAAAACATTTAGAATACTTTACGATATCCCGTTAACAGCAGATTTATATATTTAAACATGTATTGCAATTCCCAGCATGATTTCTGGTGAGGAAGTAACTGAATTTAATTAAAAACATGATTTATACATAAAAACAGAAACATATAATTCATATTATTAGAAGTATTATATGCGTCTCAGCAAGGATTTAGCTCGTTAGATACAGCATCTGGGCATCACTGCATGTAAAACTTTTCCTAAGATACGCTGATCACTCTATAACCGAGGTTAACCTATAATTAAAGAACCTGGCAATACACATTTCACATGCCACTGACATAGTGTGAAAAAGAAAACAAAACTTTGTAAAACGTCTATTTAAACTATTTTCACTTGATTGATAATTGTTATAATGCATACGTAAATTGATATTTTTATCTTTATCGAAAATGTAGATAATCTGATGATTTAGGTGAAATTGAAATTCTATCTAAATGTTAAAATTAAAATATATGCCTGTTATTTTTGTATCATACATTTGTTAATACTTTTCAAAATCTTTGGAAGCCTCTGTAAAAGCTAGCCATTTACAAAATTGCAAAAAGTATGATGCATTTACAGTGAACCTTTAAAAAGATATAATACTTTTTCAAGTATAGAGGTATTATATTTTGACCGATTGATTGATTTAATACAGAAATTATAAACCAACAAAAAACAAAAAAAAAACAAAAATTGAAAGGGGTACACGTAGGTCTTGTTACGTCAGAATTACTGATTAAACCACGTACCTGCACACATTGATAACCACTGAAAAAGAACTGCATGTAAAACACCGTGACAAAACAATGATACCTGTTTTACGACATGTATCTAGCTCCTCTGCAGATTACCGTGCATCATTTCCCTTATGTACAACAATTATGAGTTATGCTATGTGCACAAACACTTACAAAGTCAACCTGTAGGATAAATTCGCAAACTGAATTGTTACATCTGAGATTCCTATAACCACTCTGACTGATATAGTAATCTCAGGTTACACGGAACATGGGATGATGATAAAGTAAGAATCTGGATGTCAGACACTGTACCACCAATACAATAGACAATAACATTATTGAAGCTTGAGGGCTGCAACTAGTTAAAAGTTCAACAGTTTCGTGGTTTTTATATAGTCCGGCAGTCAATCTTTTTGGTTTTCAATGAAAAGAATACACAAAAAAGAAGATGTATATACAACCTTCTACCAGACACCAAATGACGTAATGACATAAAGGTTAACAGCTATAGGTCACCATACGCCTTCAACAATGAGCAAATCCAATAACGCATAGTAAGCTGTACGTACAGAAAAAAAAAGTTAAATTAACTGACGACTGCCAAAAAAAATAAGAACAACAAACAAACATATCGGGGCCTTTTATAGCCGACTATACGGTATGGGGTTTTCTCAATGTTAAAGGCCGTACGGTTGCATATAATTGTTTACATTCACTTCATTTGAACTTTGGTGGATAGTTGTCTCATTGGCAATCATACCACATCTCCTTATTTTTATAAACACCTCAAATTTCTTACTTTTTACTAATAGATCTGGTGATGTGAAGCTGATTTCTCTTTTTTACTTGTCATTGTATCTTTTTTTGTTTTTTTTTTTACTCTTGTGATGCTAAGCCATGCATGGAGAAAACAAAAAAGAAAAGTTTTGTCGATTCTGCTCATGACCTGTAGGTACATTATGAAGATATGTAGATGTAAATGACACATACCGTGTAGAATGATTTTATAATTTAAAATAAATTAAATATATGTCAATAGTTATATTCAATTCTTCGTTTAAGTGTCACTTCTTTTTCCTTTGGTAGTAAGTTTGTAACTAATAAAATTATTGAAATATATGATAAAGAAAAGTTGTTCTGTGCGTTCATTTTTAAATATTTTATTAAAAGGTACCATTTAATTTGCTGCGTTTAAAAAATGTTATGTCATAAAATGCTTATTTCCTAATACATTGAATTTCACGATAAGTGATGTCAAACTTTATTAGTATTAATTATCACCGTTATTAAATTTGTATGCACCTTATTATAACGCTGAATACCAAAAATGTACTATAACCAAGTTAATTCACCTTCCTAACGTGAGGGTACCCAAATTGCACCTATTTTGACAGTATTTTCACCTACGTTTATTTACGATCAAGACAAAAGTTTCCATTCTGTGTTTATTTTGTAGATTTATCCCTTTCTACCACCAATTTAATTTTGAATCCACATTGAATCATAGAAAAATGGGTTAGAACCGACCTCCAAACGATCCATGATTCTGTAATGAGGAGTACCCAAATTGCATCCATTCTTAAATTCACATCCGTTAAAATGGAATAACTGATGTTTTGTTTTATTTCTACAAATATATAGAGCAATTTGACAATAGTCCATACTTACTGTTATTTTTTTAAGAAATGGATGCCTGTAACATATTTTAATTGCTCATTTTTAAAAGTTTACTTTTTGTGGACGTCGCATGGCGACGTTAATTAGATTTTACTTTCTCCAGTAAATATTTCATCTGTTGATATATACTGTGAACGTTTGTTTTATGTTTATCTAAATATATTTAGCTATGTTGAAAGGTGTACATAATGTCAAATTATAAAAAAAACAAATTATTTGGTCTCTAGGTAAAACTTGTAAGATTTCTGCTGCTATTTTTGCTAAATGGGTGCAATTTGGGTACTGTGACGTCTTAAAATGTTTCTTTGATGTCGAAATTTTTATTACCCCGATTAGTTTGTACATAGACTCGATTATGAAATATCAAACAAGATCAATATAGTTTTGTTTTCTCTGCATAGATTTGTCAAAAACAAAAACTAAATCAATTACATCCCATTGATATTCTATTTTTTATGGTGAATTTTATTCTGCATTTTGTATTACAAATCTATGAGGGTCTTGATGGGGTCTCTCATTTCTGTATTCTTTAATTGTTTAGGTCATTTTTCTGTAATCTTTATATTTTTTGCTATTATTCTCTGCTCTTTGTATTTGAGTGCCCTATTATTCTCTATTCTTTATATTTGAGTGCCCCATTACACTCTATTCTTTACTTTTTAGCCATATTTTTTCTCTATTCTTAATTTATTTTTGATATTTGTTCTGCACATTTTTTCAATTACTTTCTATTCTTAAAACCCCATCCAGGCCCTCATCTATGAGTGGACTCCGCATTAAATAAAATAATAAGAACGATTTTAAGTTAATTTTCCTGAAGAGCACAAGAACGTGAGATCACTAATTTTAAAAAAGCCTGAGTGTTCGGATAACAGAACATGCAAAGTCGACGTGTTACGGATCTATGTACAGATACAAAAATAAAAATCTGCCTAATCGATTATCAGATCTGCGGTGAGTTTCCCCAAAAACTTAAGGAGTATTTTAACTTCAGAATCTGTTGAAAAAGAAACGGAAATACTGAAACGTTTCCGATTAGGGAATTAATTTGTGACGTCATTTGCAATGTAAACAAAGAAACGCTATCACCAGGTAACGTTTTTTATCATATAAAAATCTGAATTAAAAAAAAATTAGTTGGTATTTAAAAAAAACAGAAAACTCTGTTATTTTAATGTTAGCAAGCAGACGTGTTGCTATGAAGCATCGACCATCTTTTGAGTTGTTAAGGAGCGGATCTGTATCATAAACAACAAGTGTCAAAATGATCATCAGTCATGGCGATGACCAATTGACAAATGTTATATGACTTCATACTACTTTGAATCTTCATGTTTTTTTGTTAAATGTCAAACGAAAAACGAAAAAACAAAACAGAATTAAAGCAAAGTCTATCATAAATCAAGAAATTAAATCAAAAGGATACACATTTTATTGTGATTGTGTTGTTGTCCATATTCTTTTTGGGGTAATGCTATATAATCGTATGACGTACATGGAATCGTCCGTCAACAGAACCGCAACAGGGCAAATGCAAATGTTGGAAAAAGTTAGAAAAAATGTTTACGATTATGATTTCATTAGTATATTGATTTTTAGTTTTATTGATTGGCTTACTGTTAAAGGGGGCGTCCCCATAACATTTTACTCAAATCCCAAGCTAACCGATACCTGAAAAGATTTCTGCGCAGATGCGGGAAGCTAAAAAAAGTCTGAAAAAAAAGTAAACGATTTTGAGTTCATTAGTAGATTGATTTTTTTTTAATTTGTTTTCTACCATAATTTGGGACTTTGTCCCCAAATAGTTGTCCTACATAAAACACGGTTCTATCGTTATAGTTTACCAACCGTTAACGATAAAAGTTAACCAAAAATATTTCTTTATTACATGACCACGTCTGAATTTTATAGATAAAAATACTCAGCACAGAGAAATACATAAATAAATAATATAATAGTACATTACAACATGTAAACCGCAGAATAACAACGGACACCTCCCATGAATTTACGACAGCACACAAGGACACCACAAACGAAATATGAACTGCGTGTCACATGAATGAATCAACGTCACAAAAAGTGACATATTTTTTGTGACGTTTATATTATCACAGGTAAATTTCTAAAAATAAAATAGATTTGTATTATAGACACGTACAAGAATATTAAACTGGGATTGAGTTTGTAATGGTGTTATTTAATGTATTTTCTAGCCATGACAAGAATATTTAAATTGAATTGTGTTTGTAATGGTGTTATTATTTGTATTTTCTTACCCTGTCGGTTTTTCTTCTAAATTAAAACTGTATAAACAACAAAATCCTGTGCATATTGTTGCTTTAAACTTTAAATCTTATAAATGAAGTAGCTGATTTTTAATCTTAACTTTTACATACATATAGAAATAAAAAAAAAATAACTGCAATATAAGGCAAGATCATGTAAGACAAAACAGTAAACACACACGAAAACAAACAACATAAAACAAAAACCCTGTAGACGAACCACGAGTAACTCGGCTATACTGACAAATAAGACATATATGAAATGTACCGAAAATACAGAATTAAAACCACAAACGAAATAAACAGACAACAACCCAGCACAAAATGACCCAACGAATAAGAAAGTAACAACAAAATGCCCGAAAGTGGGATATATAAATACCGAACCACGTCGTCTCCAACAGCGAACATAAGACATAACAAAATACTAAATACATGAATGTTAGATATATTAATACCGAGACACGTCGTATAGCAATGCCAATTCACACTCGACAAAACAGTCATATTCAGGAATAGGTCACATTCGGTAATAAGCAGACAAGACGACATAGATGGTTAACCACAATCTAAGACGTGGTAAAAATGTCGTTAGTTAGTTTAGACACAGACACATCGTATAGATCAACCAATTTGTGATTGTGTCCATAAAATTTACGGACTGTCATTTTTAATCTTTCCTTCTCATAACTCTGTTGAATCAGTTTCTGCGTATAGTGTGAACATGCACAAGCATAACGTACCAATTGAGATATGTAAACACCATACGACGGGACAGAGGGTATGTTATTGCTGAGAAATGGGAAATTAATATCTGGGAAGTTGAAATCATCCCGTTTGTCATAGATTTTAGTCTGAATCGTCCGTCTGTGTCAAAATTGAGGAAAAGATCAAGGTATGAAGCAGTCCTTCTAGTATCAGTAGAATCCTTAATTTCAAGTTCACTGGGATATATGAGATGCAAGTACTGACTGAAATATGGGTTATGCAGTGATAGGACATCATCAATATATCTGAAAGTAAAATTAAAGAATTTCGTAAGGTGTTTTTCTTTTTGTCTTTTAGAAGGTTCTGAATGAATCCTGCACAGATTATTGTTCAGATGCAAATGGAATATTGAAATGGTGCAACGCTGAATGATACAATGATGAATAATGCAATGATGATGATGAGGAGGAGGAGGAGGAAGATAAGGATGAAAATTAGGATGATGATGATGACAAGAAAACAGTCCAAAGGAAGACATGTCACCTTACACGGACACATTATTCCTAGCAGTCTTGGCTCTTACTTCTTAATGCCGCATGTTAAGCGGAGAAGCAGCAAATACCAATTCTAAAGTGTTTGGTTTTGACCCGGCCGTGGTTCGAACCCACGACCTCTCGCACTCGAGGCAAACGCTACCACGAGACCACCGAGGCAGGCAACAGTTAAGAGAACTGTACACAGTTTGGTTACATAAAGCTAAAAGGTAATTTCGTTCAATTTTTAATTATCGTGCTTCCGCGAATCAGGTAAAATATTCGTCGTGTGTTGTGCAAATTCATGGGATCATATACATTCTTGAGTGACAGGTTGAACTAAAAATGATCGAAAGTGAGGCTCTGAAGAATTTCAAGGAAAGAAACACTTTTATACACTTTACTGTACAGTAATTATCGTCTGTGTTGGTTGCAAACAATCGACGACATATCTGCAGGACTAACGTCATACAGTTTTAAAAAATCTTTAAGAATCGTAGGAAGTGTAAGCTTGTCGATTACCGGGAATACAGATGTGTCCATATTAACGGATCTGATGTGTTTCCGAATTAGTGCTCGAACAAGACGCTTTAAACTTGGCGGTCTTCCAAAATCGTTCACTATGTGATAGTCAGTTTCATGTTTAAAGTAATCGTTTTCATAGCTATACATATCAGATACGGTTAGATCATACCCAGCAGCCAAAAATGTTGCCACAAATGTCTTGTCATCAATACAGTAATCATTTTGTCGAGAGAACATGCAGTGTTCCCCTTGTTGACGTAAAACGTCTACAAATTTATACAAGTTCGGATCCACTCCATGTTGTAGTAAAATTATTGCTGTAGTACAAATAAACCACGGTCCGGATATGTGTAAGGTCGTTGGACGATTTGCCTCATAAACCTTACCTCGTCTGTAATATATGAAAGAAAGTTATCAATTGTAATAAAGAGGCGGACATTACCAATCTGACTGAAATACAGATCATGTGTCATCGATTCGCTTTCTGGCTTTGTTATGATAGTTATTATATGGGACTTCAATAAATTGAATTCCGTGTATGAAATAAACCTAATTACACTTATTTTTCATCTTACTTCTTTTATTCTTGTTATACAACTTGAAATATTTGCACATATGTTTTATGTCTCAAGTATAATATGCATGTTCAGAACGAGAACAAATTAAAAATAAAATGCTTCGCTGGGCGCAGCTTGATACGACCGCAGAGGTCGAACCCTGAACAGTTGGGGCAAGTATGGACACAACATTCAAGCTTGATACAGCTCTGAATTTGGATTGTGATTAAATATTTGACACATCATAGGTTTCTGACACAGAAAGAATGTGGTCTAAGAACTTCAATTTTTTTAATTTACCTATTATGGTCCAATGTCCAAAATCAAAATACATGGTTAGATTCAGCATATCAAAGAACCCCATATATTCAATTTTTGTTGAAATCAAACAAAGTTTAATTTTGGACCCCAACTTGGACAAACTTGAAAACTGGTCCCATAATCAAAAATCTAAACACATGTTTAGATTCAGCATATCAAAGTACCCCAAGAATTCAATTTTTGTTAAAATCAAACTAAGTTTAATTTTGGACCCTTTGGACCTTAATGTAGACCAATTTAAAAAACGGGACCCAAAATTAAAAATCTAAAAACACGGTTAGATTTGGCATATCAAAGAACCCCAATAATTCAATTTTTGATGAAATCAAACAAAGTTTAATTTTGGACCCTTTTGACCTCAATATGAACCAATTTGATAGCAGGCCCACAAAATAAAAAATCTAAATACATGGTAAGATTCAGCATATCAAAGAACCCCATATATTCAATTTTTGTTGAAATCAAACAAAGTTTAATTTTGGACCCCAATTTGGACCAACTTGAAAACTGGGCCAAAAATCTAAAATCTAAATACATGTTTAGATTCAGCATATCAAAGAACCCCATATATTCAATTTTTGTTGAAATCAAACAAAGTTTAATTTTGGACCCCAACTTGGACAAACTTGAAAACTGGTCCCATAATCAAAAATCTAAACACATGTTTAGATTCAGCATATCAAAGAACCCCAAAAATTTAATTTTTGTTAAAATCAAACTAAGTTTAATTTTGGACCCTTTGGACCTTAATGTAGACCAATTTAAAAAACAGGACCCAAAATTAAAAATCTAAATACACGGTTAGATTTGGCATATCAAAGAACCCCAATAATTAAATTTTTGATGAAATCAAACAAAGTTTAATTTTGGACCCTTTTGACCTCAATATGAACCAATTTGATAGCGGGCCCACAAATAAAAAATCTAAATACATGGTAAGATTCAGCATATCAAAGAACCCCATATATTCAATTTTTGTTGAAATCAAACAAAGTTTAATTTTGGACCCCAATTTGGACCAACTTGAAAACTGGACCAAAAATCTAAAATCTAAATACATGTTTAGATTCAGCATATCAAAGAACCCCATATATTCAATTTTTGTTGAAATCATACAAAGTTTAATTTTGGACCCCAACTTGGACCAACTTGAAAACTGGGCCCATAATCAAAAATCTAAACACATGTTTAGATTTAGCATATCAAAGAACCCCAAGAATTCAATTTTTGTTAAAATCAAACTAAGTTTAATTTTGGACCCTTTGGAACTTAATGTAGACCAATTTAAAAACGGGACCCAAAATTAAAAATCTAAATACACGGTTAGATTTGGCATATCAAAGAACCCCAATAATTCAATTTTTGATGAAATCAAACAAAGTTTAATTTTGGACCCTTTTGACCTCAATATGAACCAATTTGATAGCGGGTCCACAAATAAAAAATCTAAATACATGGTTAGATTCAGCATATCAAAGAACCCCAAGAATTCAATTTTTGATGAAATCAAACAAAGTTTAATTTTGGACCCTTTTGACCTCAATGTGGACAAAGTTGATAACGGGGCCCAAAAATCAAAAATCTAAATACATGGTTAGATTCAGCATATCAAAGAACCCCATATATTTAATTTTTGTTGAAATCAAACAAAGTTTAATTTTGGACCCCGATTTGGACCAACTTGAAAACTGGGCCCATAATCAATAATCTAAATACATGTTTAGATTCAGCATATCAAAGTACCCTAAAAATTCAATTTTTGTTAAAATCAAACTAAGTTTAATTTTGGACCCTTTTGACCTTAATGTAGACCAATTTGAAAACGGAACCAAAAATTAAGAATCTAAATACACGGTTAGATTCGGCATATCAAAGAACCCCAATAATTCAATTTTTGATGAAATCAAACAAAGTTAAATTTTGGACCCTTTGGACCTCAATGTGGACCAATTTAAAAACGGGGCCCAAAATCCAAAAACTTAATACACGGTTAGATTCAGCATATTAAAGAACCCCAAGAATTCAAGAATAAAACCCCATTGAAATTGATCAAGAAATAAGCAATTTATACGAAGTATCTTCTTTTGCACAATACTGTGCAATTGAATATTTCTTGCTATTGTGCAATACTGTACAATTGACAATTTCTTGCTATTGCGCAATATTGTGCTATTGGATATTTCTTGCTATTGCGCAATACTGTGCAATTGAAGATTTCTTGCTATTGCGCAATACTGTGCAATTGAAGATTTCTTGCAATTGTGCAATACTGTGCAATTGAAAATTTCTTGCTATTGCACAATACTTATTATATAATAATTTACACATCCTGTTTGGTGTGTATCTCCTACCATATCATTATTAATTGCTTTTAAATATTAATCAGAAATAACCAACTTAAAATGGAAAATTTTAAAAGAAAAAAAAAATCCCCCCCCCCAAATTTTTTGAACCCCCTTATGATTCATCACCCCCAAACTCATTCCCAGCCTTCCCTTTGTGGTATGGTACCTTGCAGTACAATTTCAGAGAGATCCATACACTTGAACACAAGTTATTGTCTGGAAACTAGAAAAATGCTTATTTTTGGCCCCTTTTTGGCCCCCAATTCCTAAACGTTTCGGGCAATTACCCCCAAACTCAATTCCAGCTTTCCCTTTGTGATATGGAACCTTGTAGTACAATTTCAGAAATATCCAAACACTTACACACACGTTATTGTCATGAAACTAGAAAAATGCTTGTTTTTTGCCCCTTTTTTGGCCCCTAATTCCTAAAATTTTGAGGCAATTACCCCCAAAATCAATTACAGCCTTCCCTTTGTGATATGGAACCTTGTGGTACAATGTCAGAGAGATCCATACACTTACACACAAGTTATTGTCTGGAAGTTACAAAAATGCTTATTTTTGGCCCCTTTTTGGCCCCTAATTCCTTAACTGTTGGTACCATAACCCCCAAAATCAATCCCCACCTTCCTTTCGTGGTATTGAACCTTATGGTAAAATTTCATGGAGATCCATTCACTTAAACTAAAGTTAGAGTGCGAAAACCAATGTGTCTTCGGACGACGCCGGACGACGCCAGACGACGACGACGACGACGACGACGACGACGACAACGTCATACCAATATACGACCAAAAAATTTTCAATTTTTGCGGTCGTATAATAAATACAATAGGTACGTCCTGTAATAGAGGCCGTCCGAGATGAAGATCGGGATAAAAGTAAAAATCAAAAATACTGAACTCGAATGAAATTCAGAACGAACGAATGAAAAAAAAACCCAGTCATATTCCAGACTTGGGACAGGCATTTCCTTATGTAGAAAATGGTGGACTAAACCTCTCACTTGTATAACAGTCGCATAAAATTTCATTATATTCACAACAATGTGTGAACAAAACAAACAGATATAAAAGGTAAAAATGTCAAACAATTGGGGTATTCAGTAGTCAATATTGTGTATTAATCTTAATCACTATAAAAACAAACAATTATGCCAACAAAGAAAAACAAAATGGCATATGGACAAAGCACACAAGCATAAATGGAAGACAAGAATACTAGCAATAAATATTTGCATGAAATATTTGCATGAAATATTTCTACTGGACGTTATGTAGCCAACAATCAATCAATCAATCAATCGTATATCATAATGTGAATAAGATGAAACCTGTGTAAATTTTAACTGCCACTAGAAAATGAGGGTATATTGGATAGGGACAGAAATTGTACCTTGCAAAAGGCCATCTACGGACCGCTCAAAGAGTTGTTGCAAGGGTTCTTGGCGTGCTGAGAGTGTAGCACTCTCTTTACCCGAGGCATCGGATTTAACGTCCCCATGCTGACCGGACGTGACGGAGTACTTGTACATCCCGCAAAGCCAAACGGACGCCCAACCCGAAGGTTTTACTGCCGGTCGGAATAAGACCAAGTGACCATATTTCTATTCCTCAGTCAACCTTGGGGTTTCTGATGTACGGTATTCATTAACATATCACCAACTGCATATAGATATAAATAGCTCTGTCCATTGTGCATTCACTCAGTGCTTTATTAGATATTTATATGTTCTATGTTAATTTCTTGTCTATTGTAATATACAGTTTAGAAAATATTGATCTAGAACGTGCACGTTAGAAGTAAGTATAGCAAATTAACACGCAAGTATATAACGTCAACAAAGTATGTGTTACCCTCTGAACAAAGTTAATTTAAAGCATCAATTATGTTTAACTTTTATTGTAAAAATTAAATTTGAGAGTATCACTCCGTGCCTTTTTGGAAGGTTAAGCTTGTATCTTATTATATTCTTTAATGATCGAATTTTAACCAGATCCAATTAAAACTTCGACAGAAAATAAAACAAAACTTACCCTAAAAAGAGACATGGTCCCCAAGATGTACTATTAAGTTTCACGCCAGCATTTAAATACTGCTCGAGTACTTTTAAAAACATTTGAGGACCACTGGAATGTCTTGTAAATCCAAAATACTGAAACCGATTTGGACCAATAATTGCACGTGTGTCAGGTGGTTTCTGTAAATTGATACACTGTGGAAGTCCCTGGAATCTGTTAATGTCCACCCCTTCAATATAATATACTACATGTGCGTTTAATGAATGTTGCAATGCAAATGTCCTACACATATGTCGGAAGTACATTTGGCAGAGTAAGAGCAGCAAGATCAAATTAAGTAATGTAGAAAATATAGCCGTTTTATTTTACTTGTACATAGAGATGATTATGCTAAGAATTTTGATTGTAAGATAGATTATAGAGGTAGATAGGTATATTAAAAATATTGTAATCTGCTCAATTTGATGCCACAATAAGCTCTGAATATTCTCCCTAATACCTGATCGTAGTTTTGCTTCTACATTGGAAAATGCATGTTTTTTTTCCCCATAAAAAGTCATATAGCGCGCGAAATGTATGAAAGCGGTGATTTCTTTCAGGTCCATATAATTATTGTTTGTGATAATTAATCTGTCCTTTCTTTCTTTTAACTTATTTTTTGTGGTTAAAGGAATACATTTATTGATACTTGAATATTAAATAACAAATAAAACCATTATCTATCATTAAGGCAAATATGTTTTGCTGGTTGAAAATATGGATAGCCTAATCTTTTGAAATGTGGGCTAACATTATTTTACAGAGGGAGGCGAAAGTTACCAAAGGATAACATTATTTTTCAGTTATTCACATATATTTGTCTCTACAAATTCTCTACGACTGTCATTCGATTTCCTGCCTATTGATATCTTTTTTGCACAGGTACTTGGGTACATTATTTCGATATTTGTTATTTGGTGCACTGAATATTCAGTTTCCTATTTTATATAAAAAAGAAGATGTTGTATGATTGCCAATGAGACAACTCTCCACAAGAGACCAAATGACACAGAAATTAACAATTACAGGTCACCGTACGGCCTTCAACATTGAGCAAAGCCCATACCGCACAGTCAGCTATAAAAGGCCCCGAAATAACTATGTAAAACAATTCAAACGAGAAAACTAACGGCCTAATTTATGTACAAAAAATGAACGAAAAACAAATATGTAACACATAAACAAACGACAACTACTAAATAACAGGCTCCTACCACGTACCTGACAATACTTTGCTGGTTTTGTATAGTTTTGAGTGTGATTTTTTTTCAACTGTGATACAAAATCTTAATTTAACAAGAGTGCACACGCTGAAATTTCTCGCCTGTTTTACTTATCATGATTGAATTTATTTTGAAAGCGAGTTATATGAAGGTTTTACTATAATTTTCAAACACAATAAACATTATCAATGATCATTGTAAATGAGGTCAAGGTCAAAAGAACCCTGTCAGACTGACATGTACATCATACAATCATACCATACATCAAATATAGTTAACCTATTGCTTATGGTATCCGAGAACCAAACCTAGTAATTACAAAGATTTGAAAATTGAACAATGAACAATGAAAATCAGGTCAAGGTCATATACACCATTCAGTCATTCTATACACCAAATATAGTTAACCTATTGCTTACAGTGTCTGAAAACAATTAAAAATAACCATGAAACTTTACATTGACTAACGAATCATGAAAATGAGGTAAAGATAAGATAAACTTGACAGACAGACATATAAACGTTTCAATCATTATATACACCAAAGATAGTTGACCTATTGCTTATAGTGTCTGAAAATTAGACCATATCACATGTTCACTGATCCATGAAATGAGGTCGAGGTCATACAAATCATCTCTGACGAACATGTAGACCTCGCAAGGAACCCATATAACAAATATAGTTATCATATTACTTATAATAAATAAAAAATGCACATAACACAAGAGGCTCTCAAGAGCCTGAATCGCTCACCTGTAATTCTTTGCTTAAATCTTTCATCAATGATTATTTTTGCTTTTCAATATATATTAATGAGTAGCTTAAAAATGCCATTTAAATGTTCTTTGTATCTGTCATATTTTCTTCAAAAGCAAAAAAAATGCATTTTACCCCTATGTTCCATTTTAGCCATAGTGGCTATGTTTCTTGACGTACATTGAAATAAAATACAAAATTTATACAAGATATTCTGAAACTCATTCAGCCCAAATTTGACTGAAATTGATTCAGTATTTTCAAAGGAGGAGATTTTTTAAAGTAAGCAAACTAGATGAACAAATTATGAAAAATTGTCTTTAAAGGGCAATAACTCTCATTAAGGGGTCAATTGACAATTTTTGTCATATAAAACTTATTTGTAGATTTACTTTGTTGAACATTTTTACTGTTTACAGTTTATCTTCATCTATAATAATATTCAAGATAATAACCGAAAACTGCAAAATTTCCTTAAAATCATCAATTCAGGGGCAATAACCTAAAAATCAGATACCCGATTTGGCTGATAATTTCAGGGCAGGTTCACCTTGACCTATGAATACTTTAACTTCATGTCTGATTTGCTCTAGATGCTTTAGTTTTTTAGCTATAAGTCAAAAACTGCATTTTACCCTATGTTCTATTTTTAGCCATGGCAGCCATGTTTTCTGAGGAAACAAAAAATAAAACACAAACTTAATTCTAGATAAACTAAGAATCATTCAGCTTAAGTTTGGTTTAATTTGGTTCAGTAGTTTCAGAGAAGAAGATTTTTTAAAGTTAGAAAACATGATAAACAAATTGTGTAAAATTGTCCTTAAAGGACAATAACTCCTTAAGAGGGCAATTGACAATTTTGGTCATATTAAACTTATTTGTAGATCTTATTTTGCTGAACATTTTTGCTGTTTACAGTTTATCTTTATCTATAATAATATTCAAGATAATAACCAAAAACTGCAAAATTTCCTTAAATTACCAATTTAGTGGCAGCAACCCAACAATAGGTTGTTAGATTCATCTGAAAATTTCTGGGCTGATAGAAATTGACCTAATGAACATTTTTACCCCTGTAAGATTTGCTCTTATTGCTTTAGTTTTTTAGATATAAGCCAAAAACTGAATTTTACCCCTATGTTCTATTATTAGCCATTGCGGCCATGTTTTTTGACGAAACAGAAAATAAAACACACACTTTATTATAGATACCCTAAGGATCATTCAGCTGAAGTTTGGTTGGAATTAGTTCAGTAGTTTTAGAGAATATGTTTGAAATAGTTTACACAGGACGGACGACGACGACGGACGCCAAGTGATGGCAAAAGCTCACATTTTCTTTAGAAAGGTCAGCTAAAAAAAACCAATTGTATTTTAAGCAGTCGCTGAACCATGACAATGAGATCAAGGACAATGGACATATGCCAGACGGAAACTTCTAAACATAGGGTATCTGCATACAAGGTATTAAACATCCAGGACTTTTACCTTCTGAAATATAAAGCTCTAAAAAACTGTTTAAGCCGTCGCCTCCGGATTGTAATACCTGTAATCTACTGCTGCGACTTTCGTCGCAGGCGAGACAAAAAGTTCAATTCTCGACGTAATCTTCTGTAAAACTTTTAAGTTACGTGGAAAGTGCAAAGGACCTTTAAATCAGCATAACATATTTATATGCTTTGTACATAACCAGGATGCCTACACAACTTCTACTTTAGAAAAAGAGAGGCGGAAGATACCAACGGGATTCATAAGTCGAAATCAAACTGACAAACCCAACCTCCGCATTACACCACGTACCTGCATCAATCAGAAGTTTTACAATATCAACGCTACTGTTGTTTGCAGCATAGAATATGGGTGGCACACTGTTTTCATAATTTGTATGCTGATCTCCTCTGGCAACTAAGTTAACATCTGCACCTTTCTTTATCAATTTTTTAACAAGTTTAACATCATTGTTCCTGTAATGTCAGTTCAATCAGATGTAAACTATAATTGCTTAAGATTCAACAAATTATTTAGGGTTAAATTACGTTTTGATTCCCCTTTGGACATATATTTTCTGATTTCCTGTCTTAATATTGGATACCTAATCATCAAAATCATCCTAATAAAAAACGATATGTAGCCATTTGTATAAATGTTCGACTAAACAATTTTCTAAAGTCCTTACCACAATTCTTTGTACGAAAAAGATGGTCTTTGAAATATTATAATAAGGTACGCGGTATATTCAACTAGGGGTGTGGATTTTAAAATTTTTAAAGAGCTACAATGTACATTAACTGAAAAATACACTATTCCAATCTCTACAATTTTGCAGTAATATCAAAACGTTTGACTTTTCTACTCTTCACACTACTATTCCCCATGCTCAATTGAAAGATCCAATCCATTACCTCATTTAAAAGCCCTTCATCGACAAAAATGGATATCGTACATTCATTTAATTTTTTTTTTAAGCCATGCAAAATCTAACTTTGTGAAGAACTCTCGCCCACAAATATTTTGATGAAATTTTCTCTATATACCATATTCTTTACTTTTCAAATAAAGGGTCAAAATGCGAGGGGTGCGTCACATATAAAATCACATAATAGTAAAAGGGTAAAAAAAAGGTGACACATTTCTAAGAAATAGGACTGAAATTGAATCTACTCCTATTTCAGGCTAATGTATTTGTAATTATGAAGCAGATATACAACTATTCTAATTATATTAATACATTTCGCTATACATAAAACATAAGATTTACTGAAGCATATGAATTTTTAAAAATACACCTTTACAGGGCGGTTTAATGGGGTTACTGGCGCTACTTTGTATGTTTGTACCTAGACTTACCTGAACGAATTTCCATTATAATAATTCATAGGTAGTGTTAAAATAAATCGTTATATGACAAAATGAAACTACTTTATTAAAATGTGAGTTTATTGACAACCTTCTAATTGTCAACTTCCCATTTCAAAGCAGTAACCTATCCTCTGCCGCATCGTATAACGATTTCATACCTCAATTGATACTTTACGTTCGGGCATGTTCACACCATACGGAATTCCTCAGAAGGGTAAAGCTCCTTGCACAAAATCTGCTCCTAAAGAGAAAGGAGGAAGGTCGACTGAAATCGACCCTACATAAATTTATCATCACTATCACAAATTGGTTGACTGATACGATATGTATGTGTCTCAACGCACTAGCGACATGATTTCGCAGTCTTACTTGTTACTTGCTGCCAGAATAGTCGACTGTTTATTTGACGGTCGTGTCCTATTCCCAATGGTGACATTTTAGCTGAGTGTGGATTTTGCATGGCGGATTATGCATGTATAGAAGGGAACGCTTATTTCGTCGACGGGGTCACCCTTTTTGAAGTTCATGCAAATCCTGCAGTTTTTGTTCATCCCCTTGATTTCTATTATTTCATTAGGTTTGAATATCATTAAACTACTGGTGCCTTCATTTGATATCATCAACCTCATATGTATATAAAAAAGTACTAACCAAAATTCAAAACTCCAAGGTGAATTAAAAAAATCAAAACGCTCGACTACAAACGGATTAATATATATTATAAAATAACTTACAAACAAGCGATTGTTAATGCTGTTAGTTCAGTATGTCTTGTCCATCGATCAACTACTTCACCAAATTGTTTCGTTTCTGTCTGTATTTTCATAATAATTTTCTGATCGAATTTATCGCTGTCTGCTGTAAACACAAATGTAGTTGTATTAATTATAAATCCATTATAATATCTACTGTAATGAATTTTAGGAAAATCGGTCATAAATTATTATCAAAGATACCATAAAATATAAAAGAATATGTAAACAAAAATTAAAGATATTTGTGTTATGACTCTTTGTTATAAATATTCCATATATAATACGCAGACATAGGACAGAGTACTACGGTGGCTGAGTGTTCTAATCAATCGAACTACTTTATCGCGAGCCTGTCAACACTGATGTTGTGAGTTCGAATCCAGCACGTCTCGGCTCCAATCTTAATTGACTAGGATTGTCAGTTTCCCTAAAGAAGGTCGGTGGTTCTCTCCAGGCACTCCGGTGTCCCCCATCAAGAAAAATTGACCGACACGAAATAGCACAATAGTACTGAAAGTGGTATTAAACACCAATCAAACAATCAATCAATCATGACAGAGTAATCAAACAACACGTGTGTCAATTGTGATATAAATAAGCCTTCAATCTTTAAATTATATTCTTAAATTGTGAAAAAAGATTTAATACACTCCGTTAAACCTCGGAAATGGAATGGCTCTGTAGCAAATCTGTGAACTAAAAAAGCAGAAAGATTCATGGTAAAAGCTAAAGAAATACGTCTACACATCCGACTAGAACTTTTTATAGACACTTGCCATGATTTATTTACACGTTGAATTCCTAATATTTTAAAACATATTTAGGGATTTCTTCCTTCCGAGCCCTTTCAGTAATTGAAAGGAAAGTTGATACAAAAGAAATCAAATAATTTCATAATCCGTAGAAAAATGATCATATGACGATCTGATAAGTCAAGCAATTTCCAACTGAGTTTTAACAGTTTGATCTTGTACTGTGCTTTAACACCACTGTTCAATGTTTGGGAAGAGTTGAGCGCTCTAAAACATGTATAACTTCCGCCACATTCTTTACGACAGAAAAAAACAAATATTGATGGATAGTGTGGAGATAACTATGCTTTTGGTGCTGAATAGTATGTTGTATAAACTATTCAGCATATGTACATTAGACAGGCTAAACAGGAACATAACAGCTATTGCGTTAAATCAAATGAAACGAAAAGTTTAAGAATCTATAGCCGTCTTTATTCCGTGTTCATGATTACTCTGTTCAAAATTCTGACGAAACAAAGAGAATACATTTTGTCTTCTATGAAATAAATATAGCAGAGGAAAGATTACTAACCCTGTCATCATTTCATACTGCACAATTGAACAAAAGCTGGCCAGGTCTTATAAAGCAGTTAAAACACTAAGGGATGCCAAGAAATATTAAAATTTAATTTCATGCGTCCGAAATATAAGATAATATACCAATGTTCATTGCAAATCTCGCAAGTAAATGTTTATTAACAGAAAAAGAATGCGACCGTGAAAAATTAAATTTAAGAAAATCCAATGGGATTTTCCGACAGGGTAAGCATCTGAAACGCATGAATCACCCGACACTTGATTCAAACGTCATATACAGTGTTATTCCTTGTATCGTATTAAGTATTCAATACAAGAACATGAAATATCAATAACAATGTGAGTTTGACACAGATGGTATGATAATGTCGAAAACTGAAATTACCACCTTTGTCATAAAATTCAATTCCCGTTCTAGGATTAACAAGTGCGATTTGATTAAAAACAATTATAACGATTCCTTTTGGAATTTGTTTGTTGTAATATAGATATATGCACTTGTATTATAAATATTATTTTTGTGTATTATGTAGATGTAACTGACTGACAATTACGAAGAAGAAACCAACACACATCTGATTTTGTATCTTACAAATTTGCCAGGCTGTCTTTAACGCTGTATCTTTAGAACATGTTACTCCCTCGGAGCTGGACCAACGTTGTCCCATATTTACCAGAAGTAATTTCTTCCTGAAAATGAAATATAATAACAACACGTTCATAATCAATACTGCAGTAAAGCGTGAAAACCTGAATTTTCATTTTTGTATCTAACAGTCCGTAATACAACACTGGCATGGCACTGTTGCACTTCATCCGAAATCTAAGCTGTGGAATAAACTTATAAGTGTTTAATCTACTCGCATAAGCAAAGAAGGGACACTTTGGCACGTCTTTGGTCAAAATGTTTGTGAAGAATAATTGTTTGTTATACACGAACGTTGCATAGGAGAAATACTCATAACGGAGGTGTATTGCTCCAGTCTTTTTACAACAGGAATTCACGCAAAAACATTGCAGAAATCTAGACCATATACCTTCCCCAGTTGAAAATTATACCAAATTTTAACATTTGTTTAAAAAAGAGAATTGTCTTGTTTAAAACTAAATTGGTGAATTGATGTATGTTCCAAATAATACAAGACGCAATCAATGAACAGCAACAGTTTACTCAAAACCTTTTTTTGAAACTACATTGATATATTATCTTAATCAAACTTGCCTCAATAAGTATGGAAGTTTTCACATAAAATGACCACTACATTCCCTGAAATTACCATCTTTGTCGTAAAATTCAATTCTCGTCCTAAAAAAACCCAAATTGACAAAAAATGTATTATAAAAGTTCATATGATTTAAGTCAGAGGTTTCGTTCTCAAGTTCAAACCTTTTCTAAAATCTCTCATAAATACACATATCAGATTTGAAAATTTGTCAGTACCTGTAGTAACCATTACAAATGGGATATCACATCTTTATTTCTACGGTGATGTTGTTTATAGAGCACGTAAATTTTGCTACGAGTACAAATCATGTAAACTTATCGATCCTTTAAATAAATTTGTTCTAAATAGGTTATCAATTCAAAACTGTAATAAGATCCTTAAATATTGTTATTTTATTGGTACTAATATAAAAATAAGGAGATGCGGTATGATTACAAATTTGACAACTATCCACCAAAGTTCAAAGAAAGTGGATGCAAGCAACTATAGGACACGTACGGCCTTCAACAATGAGAAAAACCCATACCGTATAGTCGGCTATAAAAGACCACGACATGAAAAATATGAAACAATTCAATTGAGAAAACTAACGGCTAATTCATAACAAAACAATTAACGAAAAAACAAGTATATATGACAGACATGAACCAACGACAACCACTGAACTACAGGCTCCTGACTTGGGACAGGCACATAAGCATGTGGCGGGGCTAAACATGTTTGTGAGCGCTCAACCCTCCCCTAACATGGTACAGCGGTGTAAGAGCACAACATAAGAAAAAAACTATAAAAATCAATTGAAAAAGGCTTAACTCATCAGATCGATTCAAAGCAGAAAAAAAAACATTAAACATAAATACAGACTGGACGTGGCAGGGTATTTATCCATCCCTCATCCTCACAACAAAAAGGACACTAAGTAAAGATCTGAGAGTAATCGCAGTTACTGACAGTTTCTTCAAAGCCAATAATAACTAATTAAAAAAATCATGTATCTAAGATTCAAATATCAATCAGTACACATCAAACTAATATTGATACTGTTCATAATAAATTAAAGCATAAGTAAATATGTATTCATATACATTTATGCACTTACGACCATACATCCTGTCGATACTTATATTTTGGCATTGCACAAGGTTATGTTTTGTATGACTGTTTGTGAGTTCTTTACACCAAATCTATTGGATGTGTACTGATTGACATTTTTGTCAGGAAAACATTATTTGTTTAATAGTTGTAATTAGTTTTGAACTAGTTTTCAGTACCTGCGATTGTTGTTATATGTGTACTTTGTGTCTTTTTTCTTGTTGTTAGTTGTTTTTGCCCTTGTGTTGATCTGATGAATCACGCCATTTCCAACTGTGTTTTACAGTTTGTTCTTATGTTGTGTTGTTACACCACTGTCCCATGTTAGGAGAGAGTTGAGCGGTCGCAAACATGTTTACCTCCACCATATTCTGTATGTAAAAATAAGAAGATGTGGTATAATTGCCAGGAAAACAACCCTGCACAGGAGACCAAATGCCGTAGAGGTTAACAACTATAGGTAACCGTACGTCCTTCAACAATGAGCAAAACAAATACTGCATAATAAGCTATAAAAGATCCCGAAATGACAAATTTAAAACAATTAAAACGAGAATAAAATGCTCCGCTGGGCGCAGCTTAATACGACCGCAGAGGTCGAACCCTGAACAGTTGGGGCAAGTATGGACACAACATTCAAGCTTGATACACCCTTTTCGGCCCCTTATTCTTAAACATTTTGGGCAATTACCCCCAAACTCAATTCCAGCTTTCCATTTGTGATATATGGAACCTTGTAGTACAATTTTATAAAGATCCATACACTTACACACAAGTTATTGTCATGAAACTAGAAAAATGCTTGTTTTTTGCCCCTTTTTTGCCCCTAATTCCTAAAATTTGGAGGCAATTACCCCCAAAATCAATCCCAGCATTCCCTTTGTGATATGGAACCTTGTGGTACAATGTCAGAGAGATCCATACACTAACACAAGTTATGTCTGGAAGTTACAAAAATGTTTATTTTTGGCCCCTTTTTGGCCCCTAACTGTTGGTACCATAACCCCCAAAATCAATCCCAACCTTCCTTTTGAGGTATTGAACCTTATGGTAAAATTTCATAGAGATCCATTCACTTAAACTAAAGTTAGAGTGCGAAAACCAATGTGCCTTCGGACGACGACGACGACGACGACGACGACGACTACGACGACTACGACGACGACGCCAACGTCATACTAATATACGACCACAAAATTTTTTTGCGGTCGTATAAAAACTAATGGACTGATTTATGTTCAAAACAATAAATGTAAAACACATTGTTTATGTACTTAAATAAGACAAAAAAGGCAAAAAAAAGTAAAAACGGCTGAATTGAATATTTTAAACAAACAAATGAATAGTTTTCCTACCAGACTACGATGAGACAGTTGACAATAGCCAGTTGTAATCTTTGATTTACAGTACAATTATATGTTTGGATGGACATGGTGGATAGGAGCTTTATGCTAACAGGCTACGTTCACCCTGCTTTAGCAATCGGTGACCGTTAGAGGAGTAAGTTGTTGATATTCATTGTATCACAGTCTCTAACTGTTACACTTGTACTTAAACCGGAGATTGTGTATGTAAAAAATATTTTATTATACTTTATTTTATTTTTCAATAAGTTACAACAATTTTTTGCTGGCGTCTTTGTTTTTATATGCAGTTATTGACGATTGTTTTCGTATTTGTTTTCATTTTTTAATTTAGTTATCTCTATGATGTATGTTTACACAATTTTAACTGCTAAATCTCAATTTTTTAAGAATTGAATGCTTCTTTTTGTACATTTACCACACATGTGAAGCAGGATCTGCTTACCCTTCCGGAGCACCTGAGATCACTCCCAGTTTTTGGTGGGGTTCGTATTAATATTTAGTTTTCTATGCTGTGTCATCTGTACTATTATTTGTCTGTTTGTCTTTTGGCCATGGCGTTATCAGTTTGATTTCGATTTGTGAGTTTGATTGTCCCTCTGGTATCTTTCGTCCCTGTTTTATTGGGGTGTAAAAGCGTTGACCGAAGTACATTTTGTATTTTCCGCGCTTCATTCTAAAAATGTACGCACGGTCAAAAGACAACGCTTTTACAACCCTATAAAATTACTTCATTCAATACTTATTATTACATTTTTTTGCTAGAATCATGAAAACACGATTTCCATCAAGTTTTTCTTTTATTTACCTGTGCACTTTATTGTGAAAGCTCGTGTCATCATGAATATTACATATCATTTTGAAATGAATGTTAATTTCAAAAGGACGCGAGATTGCTGTTAGCCAATCAAAATAACGTATTATAATGAAACATACATGTAATGTAATTATTGTCACGTAATCTAAGAATGTCTCACACTATTTTTGTCAGTATTCAACTGTCATATAAGTGGAGGTTCACAGGGGTCTTTACAGATCTTAGCAGGTTATACACTAATTATAGAACCAAGTTTAACTCACAATTTTCTTCGTAAAATTTACCAAGCTATGAAGGAATAACATAGTTAATTTTCAGTCGTTCAGCCGTTCAATTGATTAATATAGTCGAGCATTTGGTTTTGTCAGATTGCATGGACGTTCCCCCTTTGTGAGCTTATGCCATCACTTGGCGTCCGTCGTCGTCCGTCGTCTGTCGTCGTCGTCTGTCGTCGTCGTCGTCTGTCGTCGTATATCGTCGTAAACTATTTCAAAAATCTTCTCCTCTGAAACTACTGGGCCAAATACCTTCAAACTTTAACTAAATGTTCCTTAGGGTATATAGTTTATAAATTGTATCCGAAGTTTTGATCCATCGACAAACATGGCCGCCATGGCTAAAAATAGAACATAGGGGTCAAATGCAGTTTTTGGCTTATATCTCAAAAACTAAAGCTTTTAGAGCAAATCTGACACTGGTTAAAATTGTCCAATTGGTCAAGATCTATCAGCTCTGAAATTTTCAGACGAATCGAACAACCCATTGTTGGGTTGCTGCCACCGAATTGGTAGTTTTAACAAAATTTTGCAGTTTTTTGTTATTATTTTGAATATTTTTATAGATATATATAAACTGTAAGCAGCAATAATGTTCAGAAAAGTAAGACCTACAAAAAAGTTAATATGACCATAATTGTCAATTGACCCCTTAAGGAGTTACTGCCCTTTAAAGACAATTTTACACAATTTGTTCATCAAGTTTGCTAACATTTAAAAATCTTCTCCTCTGAAACTACTGGGCCAATTACCTTCAAACTTAAACTAAATGTTCCTTAGGGTATCTTGTTTATAAATTTTATCCGAAGTTTGTATCCATCGACAAACATGGCCGCCATGGCTAAAAATAGAACAGAAGGGTCAAATGCAGTTTTTGGCTTATATCTCAAAAACTAAATCTTTTAGAGCAAATTAGACAGGGGTAAAATTGTTTAATTGGTCAAGATCTATCGGCCTTGAAATTTTCAGACGAATCGAACAACCCATTGTTGGGTTGCTGCCACCAAATTGGTAGTTTTAACAAAATTTTGCAGTTTTTTATACGCCCGTTTACGGGACGTATTATGGTATACCATTGTCCGTCTGTCCGTCCGTCCGTCCGTCTGTCCGTCGTCAACATGTGGGACATTAACTCAAAAATGCTTTAACCAATTTCCATAAAACTTTGGTGAATTGTTTATATCTTTTGACGTGAGCTCCCTTTCGTTTTTTATAAAATTAAGATTTTACGTTTCCGAGTTATGGGGTTTTATTCATTAAAAATGGGGGATTTTCCAGTTTTCGGACAAAAACTCAAAAATGCTTTCAGCAATACTTATGAAACTTTGGTGAATTGTTTGTATGTATTGATGTAAGCTCCCTTTAGAATTTTATAAATTTTACATTTTACGTTTCTGAGTTATGGGGTTTTATTCATTAAAAAAAGGGGTGATTTTCCAGTTTTAGGACAATAACTCAAAAATGCTGTCACCAATTCTCATGAAACTTTGGTGAATTGTTTATATCTATTGATGTAAGCTCCCTTTTTATTTTCATAAATTTCTAATATGACATTGAGAATTAATTGAACTTTATTTGTTTATAGTCTGACGACAGATTTACTAAGTATTGCACAACAGCAAGAAATCTTTAATTGAATATAAATTCAATTCATATAACCAATTTCAAGATCTTTGACTACATTTATTCGGAATCCTATAATATGTCAAATATTTAATTACAATCCAAATTCAGACCTGAAACAAGCTTGAATATTGTGTCCATTTTTGCCCCAACTGTTCAGGGTTGGACCTCTGTGGGCGTATCTAGGCTAGCTGCGCTCAGCGAAGCAGTTTATTGTTATTATTTTGAATATTATTATAGATATATATAAACTGTAAGCAGCAATAATGTTCAGCAAAGTAAGATCTACAAAAAAGTTAGTATGACCAAAATTGTCAATTGACCCCTTAAGGAGTTATTGCCCTTTAAAGACAATTTTACACAATTTGTTCATCAAGCTTGCTAACATTTAAAAATCTTCTCCTCTGAAATACATGTGAGCGATTCAGGCTCTTGAGAGCCTCTTGTTATATTTACCTTGAATATGTATCTTGGACGGTTCGGTAATTCTTGTTATTGCATTTTTTCGACTGCCTGCTTGCCTAAATAATGAATTATTGTGCAGAATAACAAGTGTTTGTGTGCTATAAAATTTAAGAATACATACCCATCCGTCACATGATAAACAAAATGATGATAAATGATATTGAACACATGTAATAATAAACACAAGATGTGTATTTCATGTCTATTTTTAGATTAAACAGGTATGTCTGAACAGTAACAACGGCGGGAACACTTGAATTATAAAACTGTTTTACAGCTACAGAACCGGCCTAAAAATCTATCTTGACTTGGGGAGTTATGTGAAGATTTCCCTCGTCACTATATCCAAGTCGGGATCATTTTGTAAGAATGTAGATATAATGAACAATATTGCATATCGAAATGCGAGAATGCTGACATTATGAATGTTAAAATAAATTTTATTTACTTTTAGAATTTGAAAAAACAGTAACTCATGTTTTAGAAATTGAGAGAATGCTCATTTATTAAATGATTGACATATTGATCAAGGTAATAGTATAATTACTTTGTAGTTGTAAAATCATAATTTGTTTTTCTTACGTTAAGATTACTATCAAATAACATTTTTGCAGATTGAAACACGAATTAAGTGTCTGATTTATTTTCGTGCGTGCATGAAATTTCATGAAAATCAAATTTACTTTAAGCATTGCACGAAATTTCCTTTTTTGTATATGAAGTTGCAAGAAATCTACTTGGAAGTACAGCGGTTTGCATTAGTGAGCTTTGTTTGGTGTTTTATAAAATACAATATTTATAGACTGAATTTTTCATTTTATTGGTAAGATTTACTGCATCGGTAGGAATTCTGAATAACATCCTCAGATCGAGTAACAGTCACTATATAACAGTATGTGAACTTCATGAACTTGTGAAGCAGGAATAATAGAAAAGTAAATAGTCTTATGGTAAAGGTGACAAATCAATTGTTTGTTTACGTCGGTAACCATACTGATTTAAAGATGTTTTGAAACCGCACTCGTACAATCTTTAAATGTTATCTGTAAAACAACGGTATTTGAAATATACATGCTATGTATTATCATCTTGTTTTCATTACTTTTCGAGATAAATTCATTAGAAGTTTGTTACACTGATATCTTGACCCCTTTTTTGCATTTTGATAAAAAAACAAAAATTAGAAAATTCAAAAGCGGTTTCAATATCACACTTTGTATAGTTTTCTACTATTAAAGTACTTAGCTTAAAACAATTTACCGATGTCTGCCTATTTTCAACAACTAAGTGTGGATCACACTATTGTCCTGTGAACTTTCAATATTAGCTAAAGTCTTTATTTGATTACAATGTTTTCAAAGTTTTGTTCATTCAGGTAAAGAAAATAATGTTGTTTTTTTTTTATAAAAATGAGTATCCATTTGAAAATATAATTATTTCTTGAACAGTTTAAGGAATAGGGCATCTCAATTTTTGTACATACATGAGCGGTCTGTTAGGTTGATTGATTGATTGTTAGTTGCTTAAAGTCCAGTGGCAAATATTACATGCATGTTCAGGCGGTCTGTTCGGTGTATTTGAAATACAATAAATCAATTTAAAAATGGCTTAAATTCAAAGGTGTTAATCTTTGCTACATGTATACATCGATTGTATTGATATTTTTTTTCTTGGACCTCTCTAGACTAGGTCCTTATATCTATGTAACCCGAATAATTCAGTCGTTAAATTCCGCTGATCTACGATTACTTCATTAACAAGTAGGAGATATCGATTATGGGGAGGAACTGAATTATTCGGGTTAATATCTACGGAGAATCGGCGTGTTCCAATAAAAAGTAAAGCCAAAAAAGATATAAATGTAGATTGGTAAGTATATATATAAGGAACATTTCAAACCAATTTATGCAAAACTCATAAAGTCTCTATCCTCGTCGCTTGCTATACTTGGAGAAAAAATATACTATGATTTGCTCATTATTACTATTTACCTGAACATGATAAACATTAGAGAGTTCAATTTCTCAGTGTTTATAAGGGAGGTAATTTGTACCAATGAAATCGTCATTTCAAAAGTTTTCGGTAACCATAACCGCAACTTATAATGTCAAAACAAAATGCTAATTCATTCATAAGTAGATTAGAATCTGCGTTATCAAAATATAGACTACCAAATGCTCAGGAACTATTATTAGTCACACCAACTATGGAAAAATGGAAAACAACTGTAAAGTGTGCTATTCAGCAATATTGGACAGAAAAATGGGAAATAGAAAAATCAGAAAAATCTACAATGAAATTCGTTGATATTAAGACAATGCCAATTGGAAATTCGCATCAAATATGGATATGTATCTCAAACAACACTTTAGAAGTCAAAAAATCAGAAATGAAAGCAAACTTCATAAACAGGACTTATACACTACAAGTAGACCGTGCCAAGTTTAGCAGAAATGTGGAACAGGACATTGGCCCATTATGCGGGTTAGCTAAGGGAGATACAGTACACTTTGTGCTCGAATGCAAGGCACTGAAACCTGCGAGAGATAAGCTTTTAACAACACTAAAATCATATGTGATCAACAGCATAGGCCATGAGACATTTGACAAAATTATGAATGAAGGTCTTAAGGTTCAGTTTATTCTGGATTAAACATCGGAAAAGATCAAACCAATTGTAAATATCAAACATCAATATATCAGAGACATTGAGAATATCACAAGAACTTTATGCTATGGTCTACATACAAAACGGACAACCCTGATGAATAAGAGTTAAACTATTCTTTATGAACTATATCTGTCTATCAAGTGAACGTAGGGGTTTCTGGTGTATGGTGTTACTGTATATGTATTGACATGTTTAAAAGCTTAAATGTACAACTTTATATAATGTATATATTATTTAACCTAAATTAATCCCATTTGGAGTGACCATTAGAGATAGTGAACCTACCAGGCACGTAACAGGTAACAACATGAATTTAGTTGACTGGTCTTTGGATACTAGAATAGTCATCTGATCTGTAACTATATCGATTGTTTTCTATTCGTAATCTCGACATTTTTATTTTTAATATAGTGTTGATTTACATGGCGGGTGATGTATGATGCATAGCATGATACCGGGTACGCTAACCCTGTCGACTCATCTGATCTCGCTCTTTATGGAGTTCATTGGATTCCCCCAGTTTTTGTTTTAACTTGATATCTTGTATCTTCTTATTGAATAAACGAGATTTGCCTCTTATTTATGGGGATGTTCATAAATATTGTCCTGTGTAAAGTATCGAGGAACATTTTGGAAACATCCCTATAATTTGTATCTAACATGGGGTATAAAAACAAACAAGAATCATGACTCTGAATTGGACAATGTTCTTCTAATTGAGACCAAGCAAGTCAACAGAGTGTACGTTAAAGAGGACCAAGCAAGTAAACACAGCGTACGTTAAAGAGGACCAAGTAAGTAAACAAAGCGTACGTTAACGAGAACTAAGCAAGTCAGCACAGCGTACGTTAAAGAGCAAAAAACAAGTCAACAGAGCTTACGTTAAAGAGCAACAACCAAGTCGACAGAGCGTACGTTAAAGAGGACCAAGCATGTCAACAGAGCGTACGTTAAGGAAGAACAACCAAGTCAACAGAGCGTACGTTAAAGAGGACCAAGCAAGTCAACAAAGCGTACGTTAAAGAGGAACAAGCAAGACAACAGAGCGTACGTTAAAAAGCAACAAAAAAGTCAACAAAGCGTACGTTAAAGAGGACCAAGCAAGTCAACAGAGCGTACGTTACAGAGCAACAAGCAAGTGAACAGAGCGTACGTTAAAAAGGAACAAGCAAGTCAACAAAGCGTACGTTAAAGAGGACCAAGCAAGTCAACAGAGCGTACGTTACAGAGCAACAAGCAAGTGAACAGAGTGTACGTTAAAAAGGAACAAGAAAGTCAACAGAGCGTACTCTAAAGAGGAACAAGCAAGTCAACAGAGCGTACGTCGAAGAGGAACCAGCAAGTCAACAGAGCTTACGTTAAAGAGGAACAAGCAAGTCAACAGAGCGTACGTTAAAGAGGAACCAGCAACTCAATAGAGCGTATGCTAATGAAGAACAAGCGTACGTTAGAGAGGAACAACCAAGTCAACAGAGCGTACGTTAAAGAGGAACAAGCAAATCAACAGAGCGTACGCTAAAGAGGAACCAGCAAATCAATAGAGCGTATGCTAATGAAGAACAAGCGTAGGTTAGACAGGAACAACCAAGTCAACAGAGCGTACGCTAAAGAGGAACAAGCAAATCAATAGAGCGTACGCTAAAAAGGAACAAGCAAATCAACAGAGCGTACGTTAAAGAGGAACAAGCAAGTCAACAAAACGTACGTTAAAGAGGAACAAGCAAGTCAACAGAGCGTACTCTAAAGAGGAACAAGCAAGTCAACAGAGCGTACTCTAAAGAGGAACCAGAAAATCAATAGAGCGTACGCTAAAGAAGAACAAGCAAACGTTAGAGAGGAACCAGCAAGTCAACAGAATGTATGTTAAAGAGGAACAAGCCCACGTTTAAGAGGAACAAACAAGTCGATGAAACGTACGTTAAAGAGGACCAAGCAAGTCAACAGAGCGTACGTGAAAGAGGAACAAACGTACGTTAAAGAGGTACAATCAAGTCAACAGAGCGTACGTGAAAGAGAAACAAACGTACGTTAATGAGGTACAAGCAAGTCAATATAGCGTACGTTAAAGATGACCAAGCAAGTCAACAGAGCATGCGTTAAAGAGCAACATACAAGTCAACAGAGCGTACGTTAAAGTGCAACAAGCAGGTCAACAGAGCGTACGTTAAAGAGGACCAAGCAAGTCAACAGAGTGTACGTTAAGGAGCAACAAGCAAGTCAACAGAGCGAACGTTAAAGAGGACCAAGAAAGTCAACAGAGCGTACGTTAAAGAGCAACAAGCAAGTCAACAGAGCGTATGCTAAAAAGGAACAAGCAAGTCAACAAAGCGTACGTTTAAGAGCAACAAACATGTCAACAGAGCGTACGTTAAAGAGGAACAAGCAAGTCAGCATAGCGTACGTTAAAGAGGAACACAATTGTCAACAGAGCGTACTCTAAAGAGAAACAATCATGTCAACAAAGCGTCCTCCAAAAAGGAACCAACAAATCAATAGAGCGTACGCTAAAGAGGAACAAGCGTATGTTAAAGAGGAACAAGCAAGTAAACAGAGCATATTCTAAAGAGGATTAAGCAAGTCAACAGAGCGTAAGTTAAAGATGACCAAGCAAGTCAACAGAGCATGCGTTAAAGAGCAACAAGCAAGTCAACAGAGCTTAAATAAATAGAGCATATAAATAGAGCTTACGTTAAAGAGGAACAAGCGTACGTTAAAGAGGAACAAGCGTACGTTAAAGAAGAACAAGCAAGTCAACAGAGCGTACGCTAAAGAGGAACAAGCAAGTGAACAGAGCGTACGTTAAAGAAGAACAAGCAAGTCAACAGAGCGTACGTTAAAGAGGAACAAACAAGTCAACAGAGCGTACGTTAAAGAGGAACAAGCAAGTCAACAGAGCGTACGTTAAAGAGGAACAAGCAAGTCAACAGAGCGTACGTTAAAGAGGAACAAGCAAGTCAACAGAGTGTACTCTAAAAAGTAACAAGCAAGTCAACAGAGCGTACGTTAAAGAGGAAGAAGCAAGTCAACAGAGCATGCGTTAAAGAACAACAAGCAAGTCAACAGAGCATGCGTTAAAGAGCAACAAGCAAGTGAACAGATCGTACGTTAAAGAGGAACAAGCAAGTCAACAGAGCGTACGTTAAAGAGGAACAAGCAAGTCAACAGAGCGTACATTAAAGAGGAACAAGCAAGTCAACAGAGTGTACTCTAAAAAGTAACAAGCAAGTCAACAGAGCGTACGCTAAAGAGGAACAAGCAAGTCAACAGGGCGTACATTAAAGAGGAACAAGCAAGTCAACAGAGTGTACTCTAAAAAGTAACAAGCAAATCAACAGAGCGTACGCTAAAGAGGAACAAGCAAGTCAACAGAGCGTACGTTAAAGAGGAACAAGCAAGTCAACAGAGTGTACTCTAAAAAGTAACAAGCAAGTCAACAGAGCGTACGCTAAAGAGGAACCAGCAAATCAATAGAGCGTATGTTTAAAAAAAAACAAGCGTACGTTAAACAGGAACAAGCAAGTCAACAGAGCGTACTCTAAGGAGGAACAAGCAAATCAACAGAGCGTACGCTAAAGAGGAACAAGCAAGTCAACAGGGCGTACATTAAAGAGGAACAAGCAAGTCAACAGAGTGTACTCTAAAAAGTAACAAGCAAATCAACAGAGCGTACGCTAAAGAGGAACAAGCAAGTCAACAGAGCGTACGTTAAAGAGGAACAAGCAAGTCAACAGAGTGTACTCTAAAAAGTAACAAGCAAGTCAACAGAGCGTACGCTAAAGAGGAACCAGCAAATCAATAGAGCGTATGTTTAAAAAAAAACAAGCGTACGTTAAACAGGAACAAGCAAGTCAACAGAGCGTACTCTAAGGAGGAACAAGCAAATCAACAGAGCGTACGTTAAAGATGACCAAGCAAGTCAACAGAGTGTACGTTAAAGAGGAACAAGCATGTCAACAGAGCGTACGCTAAAAAGGATCAAGCAAGTCAACAGAGCGTACGCTAAAAAGGATCAAGCAAGTCAACAGAACGTATGTAGTTAAAGTTATTGCTAATAGGAGGGAAAAGGTGAAGGGATATTTATACAGCTTGATACTAGGTTAAAGTACAAACTCATACAGAAATGACATAGCCGACTATCCCGTGTGGAGGACTTCCCCATAGTGACAGCCCTTCCTGTCCAAAGAAGAGACCGATACGTTGAAATATATCTGTTCATATTTAATAATTGATTGATTGATTGATTGTTGTTTGCTTGCCGTCCAGTGGCAAATATACCATGCGTGTTTAGAACAAGAACAAATTAACAATAGTAGCTAGATCCTTTAATATGAGTCGTTACGAATGAAGATTGGAAAATTTGGACTGCCATGCAAAATGAGGTTTGATAGGGAATAAAATTTTGCCTCGCAATAGGCCATCTACGGACCCCTCAAAGAGTTAATGCACGAATTCTTACCGTGCAGAGAGCGAGGCACTAAATGAAACGTCGTATGTAACTACACAAATCTAACCGGACATGGCTGTGTAGTAATACATCCCGCACAGCCAAACTGGCGCCCCACTTCGGCAAAGGGCTTTACTGCCAATCGGAAGATGAAAAAAAAATGGCCATATATCTATCCTCTAGTCAGGTTAGGGTTCATATGCTATGAAAACTGGTATTTGTTTTTTCAAAAAACCTTTCCATTTATTGCAATTCTTTGAACATATTATTTATGTAAAAATTGACTTGCTATTGTAATATAATTGTTAACAAACAACTCCAATCAAGGATGAATAGGAGCAAACTTTTAATGATATAAAAAAAAACCTCACTAGTTACAATTAAGAGTATGCATAATCACAAATGAGATATTTACTTTAAAATACCGTTTCTTAGTACTGTCGTACCTTGATGATTGGTTATAATAAGACATTTTTATCATGTTCGGATCTCATTCTGTAAAAAAAACGAATTAGCCGGAATTTCCAAAAAATTCAGCATAAACCGGCTGGCAAGAGATAACCTGCTGACATTTTGTAAAAATAAAATTATGTGTTTAAACCTAATTAAAATGATGGATAGTAGTTTCCCCGAGTCAACCTACGACGACTGGTGTGGGGTCAAGAGGATGCTTAATTACTCAATGATACTGTTGGAATATGTACAAATTTACGGTGAGCATTGTGTATGTTATTAGAACTCATTTAATCTTTTTAGAGCCTTTAGAAAAATAGACAGAGGTTTCCCAATTCAATTACGTTGGTATGAGGTGGAGGCTTCTGCCAAGTAATACTACACCAAAACTAAACTTTTTTGTATTTGTGTTATTTGTACCCTTTTATTCCTCTATATTGCAAACCATGTTCTTATATGCCCTTTTTACAAAAAAATAATGAGGAATGTTTATTAATTTTGTTTATGCATAGCCTAGCCAATTCTAAAATTTTATGCTCATCCGACTTGCTGTTTCTGAGAACTGTGGTGGACAACTTCAGGTGCTTGAGAGAAGTAGAATTAGATGAAGAATGTTACTAACTTCATTTTTGAGACTTTATTAATATGAAGTCGTTTACAAGAAACGAACTTCATGCTGCTTAATCACAATGGCGTTAAACTTCAGTTTATAAACTCAACAATCATCTTAAACTATACAATATTCATCTGTCAACAGAAACGACTCCCACACGTTCTAAGTGCAATGAGATGAATTGCATAACTGCATAACTCTTGTACAAAACAAATTAATGTTTCTGTACTATATGATCGCCTGTTTATTTTCAATATAACTAAATATGTATATTTTTGCAATAAGGAATACACTTTTATTAAGTTATTAACCTGGTTTGTACAAAAATGTATTTGAATTGCGTCTGATAGATACGCCTATGATTTTATGCACCAATGTCCTTACTTACCTGCATCGGTAATTCAATACAATGTCATTTTGTGACCCTTTAAAATTTGATAATTTGTCAACCTTGAAGTTTAAAGAGGATGAAGAAAAACTAGATACTTGTCAGTTTTCAGTCAGCTGTAGAAAGAAACTGTAGCAGGTCTTTTTTCGGTTGAAAATGAGATTTTTATTTTGTTGCATTTTCTCCGTTTTGGTAAGTAATAAATAATAATACTATTCTAAATTGTTACATCAAGTTTTAAGAAAAAAATATATCTTTTCTATCTCCTTTTATTATATTTTTACCATACTTTGCAAACTTTTGTAATTTTCATATTCAAAGACGGACTTAAGAAATTCTAGGAACCGAACAAGCTTCATATAATAGCTATTAGTTCTGAAATAGGAAATTTCAGTTTTTTTTCAGAAGATCACAAATACATGGATCGAAAGATTATTACGAAATGAAATATATTTTGAATCAACCATTTAACTCAAAGTATGCCGAAAGTTATGTCTACAGATTTATAAAGTATTAATCAATACATAGCTTTAATTACAATGTTTTTGTTCCTTTACTTTTGTTGATTTGCATCATTTATACATAATTACCATTATACAATGTACATGTGTTAAATGTCTAGTGCCTGACAAGTTTAGGCTACCATAATTCTCAATTGTTATATTGTCACTTACATGCTCAATTGAGCTGAGTTGTGGGCGTCGGAGCAACGATTCTTTTGTTGATAACAGTGATCGGATGCAGTATAGTTCATTCTCATGTGTGAGTAGCACGATAGATTCTCCTAGTGGAGCAGGAACTACTTAGTGCAACTTTATACCCCGGATGTTGGTAGGGTTCGTGTGCGGTGTTTTGCTATTGACGTGTGTCGTTTTTTCGTCGGTTTTTGATTTTGGTTATGTTGTCACGAAATAGTAGTTCCTTTATAATATAAGTTCCAAGTGGAAAAAATATTCTGTAATATTATTTCCACTGGAACACATATTACAGTATTTGTTACTTACGGAAAAAAAAGTTATAGAATATTTGTTCCAACAGGAATCGATATTATGACATAGTTTATAACAAAGTCTCCAGAGGAACTTCTGTTAGGCGGAACAAATATACGTTGACAATGTTATCTGTTTTAATTAGACTTGTGAATTTTGATTCCCCCATAAAACATGGCTATCTTAATTCCCTCTCTATTAACTCATACGGTATCTGAATTTTCTTCAATGACAACATTAAATATTTCTCCCAGTGCAACCTACCCTCTTATATAAAGTCAAACGACTGCTTTATCATGAAGTGATGATGATGATGACTACAGCTAACTTATTATGTTTAAATGGTTTGTTTTCCGATGGTCTGACGATTTTAAATACTCACTGACCTCTCATAAATGGGAGAGGGCACGTTAAACTGCCCATCCATATTTTGTACATGTAACGAGTTAGGCTTTCTCGACTATGTGTTGTTGGTCTTTGTTTGTCAGCCTATTTTCTGAGAATTGGCGGGAATATGGTGTTGTTTGTTGTTATGTTCAAAATTTTTGCTAATTTCTTTTATCCTTTTTATTTTATATGCATAATCTACAAAAATGGCCAATTTTAACTCGGGAACTCTCACCGAAAGTGTTTACGAAGCACTAATAGTGATATGCCTTTTGATAGCATGTCTTGGTAATACATAACCTATGCTCTCTTGATTTATCGTATATCGCTGTGTGTTATTTGACTCGAACGGAAGGTTTTTAGATTTAAATCATGTATGTAAATTATATGAGATTTTGATTTAAATGTTAAAAATGACAACTAAAATGAAGGTTAACTTTAAAAAATGAAATGTTAAGATCACATTCCTACCCCCTCATCCCATTCGTCTATCCTTGTTATATTATATCAGATACTACCCCCTCATCCCATTCGTCTATCCTTGTTATATTATATCAGATACTACCCCCTCATCCCATTCGTCTATCCTTGTTATATTATATCAGATAAAGATCACAATAATTACCATTTTATGTCTATCCATTACACAATACATTCATACTTTCATTTAAAAAGGCAAAGACATATATCACAGCCACTCGATTAATAGTCGCGTTGTTGTGTCATATTATTGACAAGATTTAGAGCTGAATTCCTTTCACTAGATCGAAAAAGACCGAGATGATTCATTTTTTGAACAAATTTATTGCTTTAAATATTAAATTGGTGAATACTTGTGAAGTGTTATGCTAAGAGTTCAGTGAACCTATAATCTAGTGTCGGTGTTGGTGCTTGGTCTGGTCCAATAAATGGTCTGGCTGATCTTGAGATTGAGAGTAAAATGCTTACACAACTTTTAAGTATAATTTAATGCTGGAATCCTTTCAGTGGATAGAAAAGAGAGAGAGGGGTGATTCATTATTTGAACAAATTTATTGCTTTGAATATTAAATTGTTATATACATGTGAAGTTTTACCCTGTAGAGTTTAGTGAACCTGTGAAATTTACGGTGTAAGTGTTTGCTCTGGTTCAATGAATTGGTTTGCTTATCTAAAGGTAGAAAATACAACTAAAAAAATGTAAAATGAGGGCAAAATGCTTATACACCTTTAAAGTACGATTTATAGTTGGATTATGTTCTGCAGATGGAAAAAAGAAGGGGACGATTAATATCTCTATCAAATTTATCGCTTTAAATATTTAACTGTTAAATACATGTGGAGTTTTATACTAGTGTTCACACAAGGAGAGTTCAGTGAACCTGTAAAATCGTGTCGGTGTTTGCTCTGGTCCAATCAATAGGCTGGTTGGTCTCGACGAAGAAACAAGTAAATTGAGAACAAAATGCTTATACATTTTAAAGTATGATTTAGACCTGGATTCTTTTCAGTAGATGAAAAAAGAAAGGGATGATTCATTTTCCTAAAAAATGTATTGCTTGAAATGTACATGTGAAGTTATGCTGTAGAATTAATGAACCTTTATAATTGACGGTATCGGTGTTTGTACTGGTCAATTTGATTGGCTTTCGAGGAAGAAACAAATCGGTCATCCCTATAGCTCCTTTCTAAATCTTTCTACTAAGGTTTATTTTTTATACACAGAAGCATGCACTTTGCAACAGTGTTGAATAATAATATATTACAGCAGGGTTATATACTAAATTTTAGTTATACCTTAGACACCAATAATCGTTTGGTTTTGATCAAAAGATGAATTTAAAACACTTATCAAATGTAAGAATGCTGATAATTTACACTTGAACAAATTATATTGAAATGTTTGAAATACTTGTACCTAGAAAATTGATAAAATTGATATTTAATGATGTTATATAATTGCATTGTCACGTCTTTCCAATTCAAAGAGGAATTTTGATTGATGATGGATTTATACATCGTCGGAAAAGTTTAAAACGTTCCCACGACTTATTTAACATATAACCTTTTGATGAAGAAAAAAACACATGTTGGTGAACTTTTTTCAAAAGTATTTGCATCACCCGAGGTATACTCAACGGAAAACTATAGATAGATTCAGCTCATAACCTAAAGTATCAATCTTTTTAGAATAATGTCTTATTGCTAATCACAGCGCCCAAAGATGAGCTGAATAATTACATTAAATGTATATACAATGATAACAATGATTGTTTAAAATAATTGCAGATAAAAAAAAAACACAAGGAAAACAATTCAAATAAATCAAAAAAACATAAATCAAACCATTCAATTAAGACCAGCAATAAAAACCAGCTGGTACATTTAATAATATATTAGGTACAGTGATCCAGTTCTATAATACTGACAAGCCGGACCAAACTCATCTGCCATTTCTAACTATATATCATTGTAATAAAAGAGAACTATAAATTTTTTTTGAAAAAATAATCTGTCGATTGACTATGGTACTTGTAGGAGTTCCTTTCTTTTTTTAAATAATAAGACAAGATATTCATTTAAAAGTTTATTAATCTTGGGATCCTCAGAGCTCAGAAGCCAGACACATTTAGACTCATCAGCTAATTTTTTTACATTTCGCACCCTTTGTTCTATATATGCTAAAAATTGCCTGCGCTCTATATTTTGGACATTGAAGTAAAAATTGTATTTCATCTTCAATATTATTTTTACAAATTAGGCATTTTCTATTATTCACATCTACATTTTTGTATCTTCCTGCTTCTATTTCTAACTTATGTGCACTTAGTCGAAATTTAGTTATCATTTGTCTTTGTTCATTATTCAAATATAAATATGGTTCAAATTTGAATTGAGATTTAAACAGTCTATATGTACGCAATTTATTTTTTCTTAATACCATCTCTAAAATCAGAAAATATTTCGTTTTTCCAAGTATGGTTATATTTTAATCTCAATTGTGAAAAAATCGGGTTTTTTTTAAATTTAAATTTTGATAAAGATTTGTAAATATCTTTATCAAGATGTAAAAAAAATCAAAATTGAGGGGATGTTTCCTAGCCATGGTAATTTGTCCTGCTCATGTTACTCTGAGGATTCCTGCATTGATGCAGATAACAATGTATCACAATTTTTTCTAGATGTTTCCAGTACTTTAAAATATTATAGATTGTTTCTGGGGAAAGTGGATAACGACCAACCTCTCCCATTACACCAATATTTGTGGTTTTCTTGTTTACACCTTATAAATATTTACATATTTTTAAGTGCAACTTTTCTTGTTCAAGATTTTTACATAAATTAAATAAAAAATTAATATTATCTGGGGGTATATTTAATGTTTTGTACTTTTTCGAGAAACCCCACATCTCACTACCATATAATAAAATGGGCTTGACTGTGTGATCAAAAATATGAAAAAAATGTTTTTATCTTTGATTTTTGATTTCCAAATGCTTTACAAAGTTCAAAATATGCTTTTAAGCCTTTTTGATAAAGGGAATGTCTAGCTTCTTTAAAACTGCCAGAGCAGTGGAATATAACTCCAATATTTGTCTCTATTTGACGAACTTTAACTTTCATGGTTTTTTTTTACTGTTAAAGACGTCTTTACACTCAATCCATTGCATGGATGTTAGATGCGTACTGATTGATATTTTAGTGTTAGATACATGATTTTTTTATTAGTGGTTATTGGCTTTGAACTAGCTGTCAGTGTGTCTTTTTTGTTGTTAGGGATGTATAAATTCCCTGCCACGTCCGATCTGTGTTTTTGTTAGTTGTTTTTCTGCTTTGTATCGATCTGATGAGTTCAGCCCTTTTCAACTGATTTTTATAGTTTGTTCTTATGTTGTACTGTTACACCACCGTCCCACGTTAAGGGGAGGGTTTGGTGCAATCAAATATGTTTAACCTCGCCACATTCTTTACGTGCCTGTCCCAAGTAAGGAGCATGTAGTTCAGTGGTTGATGTTGGTTCATGTCTGTCTTATTTGTTTTTGTAAATTACTTTGTTATAAATTAGGCCTTTCGTTTTCTCAATTGAACTGTTTCATATTTTTCATGTCGGGGTCTTTTATAGCCGACTATACGGTATGGGTTTTACTCATTGTTGAAGGCCGTAAGGTTGCCTATAATTGCTTTCATCCACTTTATTTGAACTTTGGTGGATAGTTGTCTCATGTTGGCAATCATACTTCATCTCCTTATTTTCATATATAAAGTATACTTCGAGCTCCGTTTTCTGGGTTCAAAATCTATCACGAGCTTTTAAGAGATATTTAAATCATGAAACAATTATAATCAGTGGAAATTATATTGATTATGTTGGCAAACTTTTACCAGCAATTAGTATAGGCCCGGTCAATAGCCTGGAAACCCGAAGCTGTAAAATTGAATGGTGGGCAAATATAGTTAATAAGGTCCTAAGAAAAAAGTAATATCTATTGAGTTGCCCTTAGTTTTTATAAAACTTACTTTTTATCACCTGAAAATTCATCATCGTTTTCAAAAGAAGACAAATGATACCTCTTTTAAAAGGTAGAAAAAAGAATGACGAGGAACAATTCATAAAATCACAACGCAGAAAACTGTATACTGATATTGAACAAATGCGCTATGCGGAAAGCTGTTGCCGGTCCATATAAAACAACCTAACCGGGTACTATTGATAACCTCAAAATCATTAAAAACGACCTAACCGGGTACTATTGATAAACTCTCTAACCGGATACTATTGATAACTAACCGGGTACTATTGATAATTAACCGGGTACTATTGATAACTAACCGGGTACTATTGATAACCTCAAAATCATTTATATGCTGCTTACAAATCTTTAATGACTGGGACGAAACACTACGGTAATATCTTTTATTAAGATGGATAAAGAAGATTCCGAATGATCATTGACTGTTTAATGTGACAAGTCATTTAACAGTTAGATATAATCACAACTAGACATTTTTTCTACTTATTATAAATTCATCTATCAACAGAGACCTGTGGGGATAAATGTCTAACATCAAAGAGTTTTCATATTATAAATCTGTAGATTTTTTTTCGTCGTTTTATAAAATATTCAAATGATAACAAATTTGGGCTTCAAAGTTCTCAACTTTTCAATCTTTTAATAAAGTCAATTTCAAGTTTTCTTTAAGTTAAATGCTTGTTTTAGCATGTATATTTTTTTATTTCATATCTGAACACATTTTTTTGGTGTTACAAATTGTCCCTAACTATTCAATACTACAAATTCACTTGAACTTTTTACTAATCCTGAACGAATCGATTTCGCGATTCTTTTGACCCTAAAAATGATACAACAGATAAATAACCTTGAACATCGTCATAGGAATGAAAATTAAAATATTTAATTCGGTACGTGACTTGAATTTTAATGTTGGAGTGAAAAGATGCATACAATTTATAGAATTTAACCAAACCTGTTTACGAGGATAAATTTTACCTATTCGCCCATACATGCAGATATTGCTACAATAAATTTAGAATGTTTCCTCGGATACAGTATTCACTCTATTGATAGCCAGAAGACCGTATTATCAATATCAGTGTTTGTCATTATTTTTTTCTCGCAAAACAAACATTTTGTAAAAGATTGATTGATTGTTGGTTGCTTAACGTCCAGTGGCAATGTATGTTCAGGATAAGTTTTGTAAAAGAATTTACAATTATTAACAATTTTTATACTCATTTTTAAAATATAAGAGAGAATATGATATGAATAAATTTCCAAAATACCGGATGATTTATCTCCATGAAATTGATATGCACATAAATGCACATGCATGACACACATACATCCACAATTTGTGTTTGCATAAAATGTGTTATATTCAATTTGAAATGATATAACCGTAAATTTTGTTTGAAATCAATTAAGAAAACAAATATTGAAGTATAATTCCGAAAAAATAACGAAAGCTCGTTATTAATGAGATACAAAAAAAAAAAAAGAAAACCTTTTTAATAGTTCAACAAAGTAAGAAGACCAACAAGTAGAAATGAAGGTATAGATGAACATAAACGAATGCTAAAGAAATTAGATAAAGGATACTTTTACATGTATGTTTTTAGATAGCACACAGACGCGACCTGATACCCTAAATGCCACACTGTAGTGTCTTTGATGTTGAATTAATTTAAAAAAACATGTTTCACCTATCACAAGATATTTTAATAATGTCAACTGATATGTTCTAAAATCGGTTATTGAAATGCTATATATATATATATATATATATACAAGTCTAAATTGAAAACAACGTTCAAACCTATGATTGCGTTGGATAAAAACCGCAATTTTTATTTGTGTGCATGCAAAACAAATTTCTTGGTAGAGGGGTTTAAATACAACACAGACAACATTCTCCAAAAGACCAAAAAAGTCTGAAGTTAGAATTGTTTTTTCTAATTTATCTATCTATCTTTGAATTTAATCTGATTACCCATTTTGTTCTATGTTGAAATAGTCTTAAAGGTTTTATCGTCTCATTGTCCTATACCACATACCGCTCATCCACTTAATTTATAATTGATGAAGAAAACAGGGGTTTTATCGTCTCATTGTCCTTTACAACATACCACTCATTCACTTAATGTATTTGATGAAGAAAACATCCTTTTAATTTGAAACCTCGAAATGCAATGTGCACTTTTGTTTCCAACTCAAGTACAAAAATGTACTATCAAATTAATGTTAAATCAAACAAGTTTGAATTGAATGTTATGACACCAGCGTCAGATTCCTGTATGTTCATTGACATTTTAATCCAATTGATATTTGTGTGGCTTCTAAATGTATCAAATGATGAAACATGAGATTTGTGTGTGTGAACTGTTAATAATATACCTTTTTATTGCACTAAGTTTCAGGTATATCGTAACATTCAAATTGTTACGTTCTAACAAATCCTTACAGTGCATTGCAACTTACTGGGAAAGGGATTGTTTTATGGATTTAAAGAAACAAGATTTAATCATAGATCCGTAGGAAATAAAAGGATTAAACGTTTTTTTTATAATATTGATTACTTTACTTTTACATAAACCGGTTCAAACTCCTGCCAATTTTGTAAGGATTTGAATGCGCTGCTGTTTTTTCGTAGTAAAAATGAAGAAATACTTGCATTTAAATGAATTAATTTCATCTCAAAGTGAAAATACAATCTGCTCAAAATTTCAATATACACATGTAGGTAATATTCATACAGAATGTCGCTGCTTATTTATTATGTAATGCAACATCTAAAACCAACAATCAACTGCGATTATAACTGCTTTCAAGAAAAGTTATGAACATATCAATTTTAGGCACAGCATTCAAAACGATATAATTTGTATGTAGGTATCTGTGTACCAGTTACTAAACTTAAAGAACCAGTAGTGTCCAGTGTGTTTTTTACGGGTAAAATGATGTTCTTATCAGCTACAAAACGCACAGAACCCGTAGAAGTCCAGTGTGTTATTATGGGGGTGAAATGATGAGTTTATGTTCACAAAAGATTGTTTGCATGTCTAAAGCGTAAAGCCTGGACACAAACTATAGTGTATCGTGAAAACTATAATTGAAACATTGCAGACATTATAGAGTCGCAATAATTTGAAGATACAAAAATATTGCCCGGCAAACATTGTGAGATGCATCAACTGTTTTCTCGACTGGAATGTCCAAATACGGAGCATGTCTTACTTCTAAATTTATGAAGTCCAGATTTTTTTTGAAATATTTGGATAATAGTGGAACAAGATTCCATCTGCAGTGTGCTCGATATGTAAAACAAATGCGTTTTACCCGACATCTATCAGACACACTGGTTTTATAAAACTACGTGGACCAAACGTTATATAGCATAAGTTGTTAGTTTGCTTAGTTATCTATTTCTTTTTCAGATTTTTCAGACAGAAGGAGGTAAGACAACTATTCAACGCGATTACAAATGAAGCAGATTTAAGAAATTAGAGGTCATCGCACGACCTTCAAGAATTTGCTATCCATACCGCATAGTATGCTATAAATGGTACCGACATGACAAAATGTGAAACAATTTAAATGATAAAACCAACGTCTTCATTTCCGAAGAAGAAAAAAAAAAAAGAAAAAACAAATATGACAGACAGCAACCAACGACAACCACTAAAATACAGGCTCCTGACTATACGCATACTCCTCCGTATAATTTGTCTATCGGTAATGGCGAAGTTGATTGAAAAAAATACACTTCTAAATATTTAAATCCAAAAAGTTCAAAAAAATATTTTTAATTTCATGTTCCGTATTGTAGAATGTATAACGTAAGTAGAGAGAGGCACTTTGCAATTTTACTTTGTTCCATTTTTAAACTTTTTAAAAATATAAGAAGATATATAAATTAGATAAAAAGGGAACAATGTTACTGAGTACAAGGTAATTAAATAATTAGCAATTGTTTTTTATGACTTTTCAGTATTGACAAAATGCAGCAAGCCAGTTGATATTGTATTTGCCATAGATACATCGGCTAGTATCTGGATTGTCAACTTTCCGAAGCAAATACAATTCGTCCGTGATGTGGTCAGTGAGTTGAACATTGGGTCTGGTATCGACAAAAGTCGTGTGGCAGTGGTAACATTTAGCAAAGATGTGAAATTAGTATTTGATTTCAACCAAGGACAAGGTACAATATATAGAAGTTGCCTCGTTGGCCACGATTTGCCACACCTGCATCAAAACGTTATTGACTTATGCAATTTATATTTTCTTCGTCCTAAAATCTCTTGATTATTTGTCTCGACTCATGAAAAAGAAAATACCAAAATATCAAATAAATTTAAATTGTATACGTTCCGACACCGTATTTAAGTAAAAAAAAACCACAACAATAAGAAAAAACATTTATCATTCTTTTTTTTTTAAATCTTAAAGATTATTGGACAGGTAATATGTCATGAATATTCTAATGTTTCAACTATCTCATATTTCGGCATTAAGACTTTTTAAGGCTATATTGATCTTAAACATAGCATATTACAGTTCAAACTTGAATCTTTTATTTATTGAGATTTAATATCGGGGATCACATGAATGATTTGTCAGTAATGTGTTGGAAAAATTGAAATTGAGACCATATGGACTGTATTTCATTTTCACCTTTGAATGAACCAAAATATTGGATACATCCGAAATGCATTGTAAGAACCAGGGGCAGAGGACATAATAATAGGGAATAAGAAATGTACCAAACGTCTAGATATAAATCGGGAGATCTTGTATGATTGCCAATAAGACAACTAACCACCAGAGACCAAACGACGAGATATAAACATATTCTTCCTCATTTATTCTTAAGAAATTACTGTCTATATATACTGGATAGCCTGGGGGAAATCACTGCAAACGATCACAAGAAAACAATTATCAATTTATTTTTATAACACAGTTGCCTAAAACTCGACCCTTGATAAAGAGGACGAGACAACTTGTAATATGAAATATTGTACTTATAAGTTCAACAGTTGCAAACATTTCTAACAATTCCTAGAAAACGTTATTCAAATGCATCATTGTATTTTTTATGAAAAAGAAGATTAATACTTTTTGTGGAAAATGACTCCTAAACATTTTTGGACACCTTTTTTCAGACACTGATACAGTCACAAAAGCAGTAGACGAAATAGTGCACGATACAGGTGATGCAACCAGGACCTACAAGGCACTTCAAATGGTACATGAACAAGTCCTTGCCCCAGGGAATGGTGAAAGACCAGAAGTTGAAAATGTCGTTGTAGTCCTGACTGATGGAGTGACAAATTCTGGAGGTTACGATAGTTACACGAATGGCGGTAAAGATCAGACTTTAGATGAGGCTAGGACTGTCCGTAATCTGCCAGCTCATCTTTTTGCGATCGGAATAGGACACGGGGTCAATATGGAAGAGTTGAAACACATGGCCAGTATCCCGGATACTACATACGTCATTACTGCTAATGACTTTGAAGAACTCAACACTGACAATATAAAACAGAAGCTTATCAACAGAACTTGTGAAGGTACTCTTCCATGTGTGATTGACCGATATTTATACATGCCCAATTCAATTTAAAAAAAAACAACGTCCTATTGAGGCTTTTCTACACTCAAGGGCGATTTATAGCTTTCTGACATATAGGAAACCATATGCTTCGAACTAGATGTTTATTTTTTATGAGTCGTTGGGTTACTGTTTAATCGACATATACTTTTTTTCATTAATAATCATTCATTTTGCATTATTACTATCAAATTGATTAAAAGGAACTTACAGCACCTCTCCATTGACCGCTTGACTATATAAAAGTGTTTGGTGATGTTTGTGTTTCCCAGTCTGTTGTTCTTTGTGTATAGTGTTTCTGGCTTGTTTTTTTTTTCTTTATATAAGTTTTGAATGTTCTTTAGATATACTGTATTTTTAAACTTTCATTCATAATCACTTTCAGTTTACAGTCTATTATACGATGAAAACAATGATTAAAGTCTTTGTTAAACTATATAGTTTAATATTATTAATTTAAATCTTGATTATTTATTTATTTTTAATTGTTATGCAGTTGTTGTGCCACAAGCCACCATTCCTCCACCACCAGCAACCACTACTAAGCCACCACCAAAAGAAGAACCAAAAGGTGTGTATTCCCATGTAGAGTAACAAATAATGGTTAACAAGATATTGCTTAACATGAGAAAAATATTCAAAATCATAAATCTATTAAATACACATAACAAATTGTGTTAAAAATTGAAAGTTTATGATTAGCTTTTAAATCAAATAAAAAAATATAAACTAATGATATAAACGGAAAATAATGTTGCTATGTTTCCATTTGTAAAAGTCAATTTGTGGTTAAAACACAGAGCTAATATGTATAAAACCACTTACGTTTAAGATACCCAATCGTAAAACTTATTCATCGTAGGACATACAGAAAAAATCCGTCCGTTCGGAACAAATCGTAACTTCAGTAGTATATGCATATCAGTCCAGATTCTTTTTCATTATTTCACCTTAACAATGGATATGAATGACGATTTTTGTTTTCATACAGAAGAGTTATGATCATAGAAATATGCATGGTGAGATCAAATCAGGGTAACACTGTTTGTAATCCTGTACGTTTGATCATACCAGGGTAACACTGTTTGTAATCCTGTACGTTTGATCATACCAGGGTAACACTGTTTGTAATCCTGTACGTTTGATCATACCAAACCATTATTTTGTATTACTTAGCTATAGTGTTAGGGTTATATATGGAACGGTGACCAACTTTCGGTTTTATGTCATATTTCAGTGAACATTCTTAATATCATGTGATAGTCATCAGATTTTCAATAAGGATGTCTTGATTTTAAGATTAAACAAGAATGTGTCCATAGTACACGGATGCCCCACTCACACTATTATTTTCTATGTTAAGTGGACCGTGAAATTGAGGTCAAAACTCTAATTTGGCATTAAAATTAGAAAGATCATATCATAGGAAACATGTGTACTAAGTTTCAAGTTGATTGGACTTCAACTTCATCAAAAACTACCTTGACCAAAAACTTTAACCTGAAGCAGGACGGACGGACGGACGGACGCACAGACCGGAAAACATAATGCCCCTAGGTGGGGCATAAAAATATTTTTTTACGAGTGCTTTAAGCTACACATGTTTAATCTATCAGCCATTCCTGGTTATGTCTTAACAAATTTTTAAACCTCTATGGTTTTAAGCTTTACTGAAAAAGGCAACCCACGAAATTGCATTATATTCAAAAAATAAATTTACATACTTTTAAACTTCTAACTTACATTTCGTTTTGAACAATTGAAAACAAAAAGTTTGATAAGATTTCCACGGACAACACGGACAACATGTGAGCAACACTTTTCACCAGATACGGTAGAAACCTTAAGTGTTGGAAGATAATAATTTCAAAAGTTGAAAGAACAAAAACTAAAAGGATCTAAACACACCAGGCAAAATCGTCTACTGCCAATTCAATCTAAGGGAGAGAATTTTAACATGTATCAATAATAATCTCTTTAGTCAAATTATAATTTTATCACTAACAGAATGTTATGAAGCCAGGGCAGACATAGTTTTCGTTCTGGATCAGTCTTCAAGTATCAAAACGTATGAAAACTTCCAAAAAGAACTCGAGTTTGTAAGAGAAGTTATCGATCGGATCGAAATTGGACCGACTAAAGCCCAGGTGGGACTTATGAAATTCAGTACAGACGCAACTACAGAGTTCCATTTAGGGGATCACACAACAAAAACAGATCTGGTAAATGCATTATCTATGGTGAAGTGGGATGGAGGAGATACTTATACAGATAAAGCTATAAACATGTTGATTGATAGAGGCTTCAACAAAGTGTTTGGCGCCAGAGAAAATGTACCTCAAATTGCTATCATTTTAACTGATGGAGGGTCTACAAAAGCATCGCTGACAGAAGAAGCTATTGACAGGCTGAAAACAACAGACATTATATCATTTGCTATTGGTACGTGTATTAAGTGCAGTTTTTCCTTTGTACCATTAAGGTGCTAATAATTGAAAGGTCAGTGGAAATAATCAGGATCTTGTCCTACCGCTGTCGTTGATTTTATAAATGTAAAAATCAGAAGGTGTGGTATGATTGCCAATGAGACAACTCTCCACAAGAGACCAAATGGCATAGGAATTAACAACTATAAATCACCGTACGGCCTTCAACAATGAGCAAATCCCATACCGCATTGTCAGCTATAAAAGTTTGTACAAAAAAGATGTAATTTAAACATCAATTGTTAACAACTTGTAGTTGGATTTGCCTACGCAACATTACAATCAATCGGAACAATGTATGATGATTTCTGTTTTTACACTAACTACTTTCTTTTCTCATGGCCTTTGATGGCTTACATTGATACGTGTTTCAGCAAAAGAAAGTTTAAACAAAGGAAGTTAACAAAATCATTGTTGCGTTTGTCTCCTAGGTGATTTCAGATTTCCGTGTAACACTTATTTGTTTTTTTGGTTTTTTTTGTTTCTTTTCTGTTGCTCTATGGCTGTCAGAAAGATAGAGGAATGTATACACATATTATGGTTAGATGTCGCTTTAAAGTATGATGTATGCATTATATTTTATACAATAACAATGTTTTATTTATGTACGTATGCAGGGGTTGGAGAAAATAAAACTGATAAGATGTTAGAAGAATTAACGAACATTGCAACTTCTGACGACCATTTTTTCGATGTGGACAATTTAGACCGACTTGTTGATATCAGGAAGAACTTGGTTAATGTTTTGTGTGAAGGTATTTATCTAATGAAAAATATTCCCAAGTTGCATTTAATTTGATATACATATATCACATGCAAATTTCAAAACAAAAATATTCCAAGTTTACTCAATACTATAAATGGAAATACGAAAATGTCAAACACGAAATAGCAATGAATTTTAATATACACAAAAGAACACTGATGCCAGCTATAGAACAAAAGAATTTTTTGCATATACTTTATCCCAACTGGAAATTTATTGACTGTCAACTTGTTTTGTGAGCGCTCAACCCTCCCCTAACCTGGGACAGTCCCGTTACAGCACAACATAAGAACAAACTTTAAAAATTAGTTGAAAAGGGCTTAACTCATCGGTACAAAGCAGAAAAACACCTAACTAAAACACAGACTGGACGCTAGTTTGAGTGATGGAATTATACATAATGTATAAATATTTCATCTATTTCCTGAAGATTGGTGGAAGAGCACTTGTACATACTTATTTGTATTGTTAATGAGCCATTCATTATGGACAAATTTTAGCTTATATATCTAGAGAAATGTTTCAAATTTAACAAAGACCAATTGTTGTTGTATTTGTTTGGGGATAGCAACTACTTAGAAAATATGTTCGAATATACCCAATTCGATTTTTTCGGCATTAAAGGAAATAGAACCGATATGTTTGACATTAAATCAATAACACGTGTTCTGTGACGTCCATTGCAAACATGAGGACAGTTGTAGTAAAATCCTGAAACTAGAAATAATATATAAATAGATTGAAAGAGACACGTTTCTTGTCTTTAACTCTATTTACCTTTATTTTCATGGACAAGTATCTTTATATATATATATATATATACATGGTTTCTAATGCTTTCAGATGCAGGGGAAAATGACGAAGACAGTAAGTTAAAAATATAATACAAGAATGCAAATTTTAGCAGCAGTCTCTCAGTTAGAATTATATTGTCTGATTTCTACAAATGTCAACGATTCGAGCAGCAGTCACTCAGTTAGAATTATATTGTCTGATTTCTACAAATGTCAACGATTCGAACAGCATACATAGTAATTTTCTATTGAATCAATCACAAAAAAACAGATTTTTATGAATAATAGACAAATACGAGGTAAACATTGACGAAACAGTAATCCCAACAACATAAGAGAAATTTAAAGGTCAACATCTGACCTCACTAAACAATAGACACAATACCTAAACCACTTCCAAGGTCCTTAAGATTTTACTCTCTTATATATATATACATGTAGCTTGCCTTCATTTTTACATTCACCACCTAAATTGATTGGAAATTTTTGAAAAACTTCATTCAAACACAAACACCTTTGTTAAAAATATATTATCAAATATAAATCAGTGTAATAGTTCTAAATAGTCTAACAATATTGTAGTTTTATTTTAGGACTATTTAAAGCTGGTATTTATTAGTGTTTGTCTTGTTAAACCTTCCGATCTCTTATCTAATATTTATATGCTTCACTATATTTGTGTTTTAACATTTTTTTTAAATCCACTCCTTTGAACGGAATCTACAGGTTTGTGAATAAATAAAACTGCATTAGATTTAAATTAATATTTGAACTTTCTATCATATTTTTTTCCAGAGCCACAGAAAAATGAAGGTTTGTATGTTTTAATATGCAGTAACTGTTAAAATGTAATGTTTGAAAGAAAGTGAATAAAATTGTTCTTCAAGTAACAGTAATCTTTTATTAGCACATAGCTTACTATACAGTATGGGTTTTGCTCATTGTTGACATATTATAGTTGTTTACTCTTGTAGATAGTTGTCTCATTGTCAATGTGGAGTAGGATCTGCTTACCCTTCCGGAGCACCTGAGATCACCCCCAGTTTTTTGCGGGGTTCGTGTTGCTCAGTCTTTAGTTTTCTGTGTTGTGTTTTGTGTACTATTGTTTGTCTGTTTGTCTTTTTCTTTTTTTTTTAGCCATGGCGTTGTCAGTTTATTTACGACTTATGAGTTTGAATGTCCCTTTGGTATCTTTCGGCCCTCTGTTATATCCTTATTTCTCTGTATAGTTTACCTACTGATAATACAGTTGTTTGAATAAAGTAAGATGCGAGTTATACGTCAACGAAACATCCATCGAACGACACCAGAATCAAAAGACACTAAAATAGGTCTTCCCTTACCTCCCTGTTTATTAGGACGAATATATGGTGCGGTTTCGGTAACTCGTGTGGTGTTTAATTATTGTACAAGCTATCAGCCTTTTTGTCGATAATGATCTTCTGATCTGACCTAATAATGTAGACGCGAAATAACTTAAGTTTTTAGTATCATTTGTAAATTGAAAGAAAACCTATTAAAAAAATCTAAATAAGTTTCTCCCAACTTGTGTGATTTATAACTTGATAATATATTTATTATAGAGTGTAAAGAAACAATTGCAGACATCATGTTTCTACTTGACGGATCGACCAGTATCAATAACCAAGAGACCTTTGACAAAGAACTTGATTTTATTATCAGCGTCATTGACGAGATGGACATCGGTAACACCCAAACACAGATTGCCCTTATGCAGTTTGCCAGTGGTACTAAAGTAGAATTCCTTTTCAATAAATATGACAACAAGGCAGACGTAGCAACTGCTATCCAAAGTGCCAAATGGATGCAGGGTAACACATACCTGAATTTGGCACTTGATAAAATTGTACAAGTATCGACCAAAAAAAATGGCTTTAGAGATAATGTACCTCACATATTAGTACTCATCTCGGACGGTGTATCTACAAGACGTTCTTATACCATGAAAGCGATAGAGAGATTGCGGGCACAAACAGATTATATTGTTTTCGGAATAGGTGAGTTAATGTAATATTAACATGTCTCTCTCTCTCTCTCTCTCTCTCTCTCTCTCTCTCTCTCTCTCTCTCTCTCTCTCTTATCTCTCTCTCTCTCTCTCTCTCTCTCTCTCTCTCTCTCTCTCTCTCTCTCTCTCTCATGAGAATGAAACAGACACTTTATGAAATCAAGTCACATGTTTTCTCTTTTAAATTTGTCATGCTGGTGCTTTTTAGCTTATTAAACGGTACGGATTGTTCTCATTGTTGAAAGCCGTACAATGAACTGCTATAGTTGTTTAAATTTTCGTCCTTTGGGTTCTCGTGGATTGTTGCATCATTTTGGCTATTATATAACACGTCTCCTTATTTTTATATATTTTATTAATTTAGTAGGCGTGATTGCTTTTATATTCCAAAACATTTTGATTGTATTAAGGAAAATTGTCTATATATTAACTCGATGAATTTTAGAACTGCCAGTCACTTTCTTTTTGAAGATAGTTTACTTTCATTTTTTATTACACAGAAGATAATGGATTTACTGTGTCTTATTTATTTCTTATAGCGAGTGGGAGTATAGGGCACGATATCACTTTGGTCCCCATTGGAAAATATGAATGAAAGCTAAACTTTTACCTAAAGAAACTTTCACCTCAATGTCACAATCTGGGAGGGAGAGGTGGGTATAAAAGAGTAATCTTTTTATCAACCAAGTGTTTCCAAAAAGTTTCTATGGCATTTTTTCCCAGTATATTGGTTGACACGTGATGTGTATTCTTATATAAATGTAGCAAGGTGTGTTATACGGGAATTTACATTCAACTGATTAATCATAATTGATATTGTAGGTGTCGGGATGTATCTTAATATGGAAGAGTTATCTCAGCTAGTTTCAGAACCAAAACAAGATCACCAATTCCATGTTGATAATCAAGATTCACTGCCACTCATCAGAAGTCAACTTACTACAAGGCTCTGCGCAGGTCAGTTATTATAAACTAAAGCAGAAGTGGGGTACTTGTCAAATGACAGCCACCTAACAAATTAAGTTAACCAAAATAAACATTTAAAAGTCACCATTAATAGTATCCATTATTTACAGTAAAATAGACACTTAGTTGTTTCGATTATAGACCAGAGGATGTCGATGAAATGTCGGCCATTGACACCAAATCTTCACATGCAAACTTACGAGGAAACATTGGTAAACACTGAAATATTGATTAAAAAACCCTTAAACATGTATTATTTTTAATTAAGAGGACAGTTTTTTTTCAAATCTCAATATCTCACCTTTGAATTTTGTATTGGTATGCATATTTATTAAACGTTTTGTTTTCTTCTTCGTAATATCGTTAAGCAAATGATGTGTTTATTTCACACCTAGAGATATAGTTTAATACATTACGAGTCTATCAAGTGTGTATTTTGAACACAGATTCAAAATCATCGTCCGTTTGATAATGATTACATGTTTAGTCTAAGTAACAGCCTAAACTATGGTGTCATGACCCTCATTTCACATGCAAGGTATATAAAAAAAACTACGCAATAAATGTTTTATTTGGTTTTTCTTTCAGCTGATGAACCAATACCAGCACCAGAGGGTGAGTATTAAAGTAACTATAGAAACCAGATTGATATAATGCCAAAAGCATTCACTTGTTTCCTGCTTCCTGACTAAAAAAACATAATCATTTAAAATTATTCAATTCTTTTAAACTATTTTACATAAACTATTATGGAAATGTTCTGGACTTAACCAAAAATGTACAGACTTGAACGGAAAAATGTATAGACTCTAACCAAAGTTGCCAATAAAATGTGTTAGCCTAGGAATAAAATTTAGTGTACGTAGAGAGTCAGAAAATCCATCTATATATTTTTTGCCTAATAAGATATTGCAACCAGAATTAAATACAATTTCACATCATTAATGTAGAAAGACATATCATATCTTAAGAGATAATTCTTAACCAACAGTTGGCATTCAAATATGATATTTTAAATATTTATTCCTGAATTTACCATGATATAAATATTAAAGCAGTGCTTAAAATCATTGTGTTTTCTATCTGAGGGTCTGGATAGGGGTAATTCTGTATTCTTTCATTTTTAAAGCCATTTTTTATGCCCAACCTACGATAGTAGAGGGCATTATGTTTTTCGGTCTGTGCGTCCGTCCGTCGGTTCGTTCGTTCGTTCGTTTGTTCGTCCGTCCGTCCGTTCATCAGTCTGTCCCGCTTCAGGTTAAAGGTTTTGGTCAAGGTAGTTTTTGATGAAGTTGAAGTCCAAAATTGAAACTTAGTTCGCATGTTCCCTATGATATGATCTTTCTAATGTTAATGCCAAATAGAGTTTTGACCCCAATTTCACGGTCCACTGAACATAGAAAATGATAGTGCGAGTGGGGAATCCGTGTTCTATGTTTTACATACTTTGCCCTTTTTCTTTATTCTTTATATCATAGCAACCCATTTTTCTCTATTCTTTATATTTAAGCACCCAATTTTCCTTTATTCTTTATTATCTAGCACCCCATTTTTCTCTATTTTTATAGATTTTGGCCTATTTTTCTCTATTATTTTTTTTAGCCATTTATTCTGCACTGTTTACCCATTATTCCTTTTTCTGTAAACCTCATCTAGACCCTCTTATCTGTGTTGTAATAATTTATATTTTCCTGTAGTTTGTATCGACAAAAAGGCAGATATCGTTTTCATTGCTGATGCATCTACAAGTATTGGTATAACAGACTTTGGAAAGCTTAAAAGTTTTATGAAGAAAGTTATAAGTAATTTTGAAATCGGTTCAGACAAGATACAGATTGGACTTGTCACATTTTCAAATTCATCAAAAACGGAATTTCCACTGAAAGCGTACAGGTAATATATTTTACATTTGTTAAACATAAAAACACGCAGTAATATAGCACAGGGCAAGTTTTTAAAAAAATAGACAATAACCAAACTTATAAAAGTGACTATGTATACCTGATAAAAATTTGACAGTGGCAATATATCCAAAAATAAAAGAAAAAAACAATATCAAGGTCAACAGGTATGTAAGTAATCCTGTTACGACAGATGTTATTCTATTAATTTAAATACGCAATTTTTGGTCGGCATAATTGATTGATTGATTGATTGATTGGTATTTAACGCCACTTTTAGCACTATTGTGCTATTTCGTGTTGGTAAATTTGAATTGGTAGAGGAAGCCAGTGCCCGCAGAGAACCACCGACCTTCGGTAGAAAAACTAACAATCCTAGTCAATTCAGATTGGAGTCGATCGCACCTGCCACGTGCGGGATTCGAACTCACAACATCAGTATTGACAGGCTAGTGATACCACTGTGTATCATCGCCACCGGAAATTGGGTACTAACGAAGCGGAGAGAAATGGAAAAAAAAAGTAAACAAGGTAAGAATTCATTCAATTTAAAGCATTTATACTGATTTGACGAGGGTACCGCTTAAGAAATGATTTTCTGATATATAATTCTTTAAATTATTAGGCCGATAAGTACAAAATTAAGACAAGATTTTGTGTTATACTCACGAACTTGCCACTTAGTACCTGAAAATTTCGAGGTCGATCGTCCTCTGTCGCCCCGCCCCATTGGCAAGATATTCAACTGTTTTTCATTATTTTTCCAGACACTTTTTTTAGATTATTATAGTGTGTCATCATATTTACTGAAATTTGTTGTCAAAATGAACGTTTTAAAAGAATATAGACCATAAAAAATAAAGTCTAGGGTACGGCAACTTGCTCATATTGACAAATTCACTGTATGGCAATTTGTTTTTTTAACTGTATGGCAACTTGCTAATTTCAAAATATTTATTTGCCGTCTTTTTAAAGAAAATAAAAATTAGGTTCAACTATCTAATTATGCATTTGATAAAAATACAATTCGCTTGACACCATTTAAGATGTATACACAATATAAGGCTTGAACACAGTCCTATTACATCTTTTACATACCTGATGTATACAATATGAATACGGCATATACAAAAGCTGGCAAATGTTGTAACATTCGGAAAGGCATGTCACTGTTTTACTGACCTGTTGTTCTGCCCTGACGTAGCGTTAAATGTTACCCTTGTCCGTCTGACCCGTCTCTCTCGTCCGTCCAGAAAGTTCCAATAATTGGTTTCCGTTCTCTAACTTTAGTATGCCCATACCAAATGTTTTAAAACTTACACGAAATGCTTATCACCACAAAACACAGATCAAGTTATAAATTGGGTAGCGTCACTGTTACCGTTCTTGAGTTATGCCCTTTTATAAATGAAAAAAAGCTAAACTGTCGTTTCTGTTCTCAATATATATGTGTCTGTCCCTGGTCAGGAACATGTAATATAGCGGCTGTCGTAAGTTGCTGCCTGACATATTTGTTTATGATTTTGTCATAAATCAGGCAATTTTGATACGGTGTGGGTTTTGTTCATTGTGAAGTGTATAGTAACCAATAGTTGGTCAAATCTATTTCATTTGGCCTTTGTTTGAAAGTCCTCTCAGTGAAAACCATTCCACGTCTCCTTTTTCAATTAATGTTATTGTCTTATTTGTAAAAGGCAGATACAGCCAATATATTAGAATAAAGAAAATTAATTTTCTAAAAAAAAATATCATCTCTATATAGTAAGAAATGAACAAGCTCGGTGGCTAACACTGTTTAAATTTAAAAAAAAATATTAACCTTAGATTAATCATATTTGGAAAGAATGAAAGAAGAATCCGATACAAGGGATACAAATCCCGCTGTGGCTACGGCATAAACTATTTATATAAACTTTCTACTTGAGAATAAAGATGACCTTGTATGAAGTTTTTTTTGGTTGTCATCTTAATATTATATACTTATTAATACAATTCACAAAAGCTAGCATCTTCGACTTGTAAGTTTAAAGAATTATAATGAAAAAACATCTAATAAGGACAGGTTGAAATATTTTTGAATCCTGATGGTGCATACTCATAAAGTCTTTTGGAAAAATCCACGTAAATTTAAATGTTGATTTCATAGCGTTCATTTATTTATTTGCCCTCGTAAACAGTTTTGTTAAAATACCGAAATCGGTAAATTCTTATCGTGAACGAATAAGTCGGGTACACCTTTTTACATTCAGGCGTGCTTAAGTTGCACTTTTTTCTTCCTATTAAGAAAAATGATTTTAATTTTAGCATCTATCTAAATATTAGATTATTTACACACACACAAAAATAGGGCTTACTGTTGATTTTGAAACTCTATGAATTCACATTTATATTCAACCAAACAGATAGGCCGAGATCCATACCTTTATAAGTTTCAAAACAGAGAAGGTGTGTTTGAAAACAAATAATCACGTACTGCTATATCTTTTAAGGCAAATGCAAGTCTTACTTGTATTAATTATATAATTTTAATTGGCACAATATCACATTAAAATTTACTGAGAAATATTATACATAGTAATCATGAAAATGTACTACTGTAACAATGAAAATTCGGACGAATACACTCCTTTTCACTACCCCTCCATCTACTCATTTAAGTTTAGGCCAAACAGCCTTAGCAACAGTCTTTTATGATTTTTTCCCTGTAAATAAAAAGATTGATTGAATTTACTTAAACTAAAAAAAAAATACAATCTTATTTTCAATAAGAATCAAGAAAATTAATTCGAAACACAATTCATGATTTATTTCTCCTAATTTTCAATGAAAACAAAGTATTTTTCTTAACTTTTCTTTTAACAAATTATTCATTTCAGAAATTTAAAAAATAAACAATAAACAATGTTGAAGACCGTACCTTGACCTATAATGGTTTACTTTTATAAATTGTGACTTTGATGGAGAGTTGTCTCATTGGCACTCATACCGCATCTGCCTATATCTATTTAACCCAGCACATTCTTTATGTGTCTGTCCGAAGCCACGAGCCTGTAGTTTGGTGGTTGTCGTTGGTTCATCTCTATCATGTTTGTTATTTTTCGTAAATTGTTTTGTTATGAGTTAGGCCGTTAGTTTTCTTGTTGAATCCTTCCATAATTTTCATGTCGGGGCTTTTTATAGTCGACTGTAAGGTACGATTTTTCGTTGTTGAAGGCCAAACAATAGCATATAATTGCTTACATACACTTTATTTGACCCTGGTGGATAGTTATCTTATTTGCAATCATACAACATCTCCACTGTTTATATTTAAAAAAACAAAACAGCACCAACAATAGATGAATGGTCGGTTTTTTTTTATTGAACTTACAAAATTTCACCCTGACAACAAATAAGACAACAGGCGTTAGTATTATAACTATATATGAATGTATTTAGGATAATATGGTTGAAAAAAACCTTTTTGTCTTTAAAAACACAGTCAAATAGAGGTACGCAACGACGACTTCTGAACAAAATTAACGGCATATATTTTATAATATTTGATAAGTATTTTATTTTGTATATTTGTAAGCCGGTAAAGCTTTGATACAGCCAAAATTTCGTCACTTGATATTATCTAAACAGTGATTAATTTCATCTTTAAATTACAATATATTGCAAGACGCCGTACAGACAAAAGTTGTTATTTTGCAATTCGCCGTACAACGTCCTGCAATTCGCCGTACAATAAACAAACAATGTTTTGGTCCATATTCTTTAAAAACATCTTTATGACAACAGATTTCAGTCAATATGATGTCACACTATAATAATCTAAAAAAAAGTGTCCGGAAAAATAATGAAAAACAGTTGAATATCTTGCCAATGGGGCGACAGAGGACAATCGACCTCGAAATTTTCAGGTACTAAGTAGCAAGCTTTGGAGTATAACACAAAATATTGTCTTAATTTTGTACTTATCGGCCTAATAATTTAAAGAATTATATATCAGAAAATCATTTCTTAAGCGGTACCCTCGTCAAATCAGTATAAATGCTTTAAATTTAATGAGTTCTTTCTTACCTTATTTACTTTTTTTTCCATTTCTTTCCGCTTCGTTAGTACCCAATTTCCGGTGGCGATGATACACAGTGGATACAGTAGCTGGACTCCTTAGACCACTAGGCCACCAATGCCCCTTGATCGCCTCGGCAAAAGACAACTGCCTAAATTATAGAATTGAATTGTTACATACTGTTGTTCATATTTTTAATTATTCAAAATTACTGTGAAAAATTCTATATTTTCGAACTTTACAAAGAAAGAAAATCTCTAGTTGAAATTATTACCAAGACTCTAATAGCCGAAATATATTCTCATCAAAATCCTAATTTGCAGCTTTTTTGCTTTTTTTTACAGCGTTAGTGTATATCTGTATAAAGTCAAACTTAGGTTGAAAATATTGCTTTTAAACTTTTCGTTATATTTATTTTCTATACAAACAGTGCAAGTGATGAGCTAGATAAGGCGATAGATGATGTCCATTATACGCAAGGTTTGACCTTCACACATTTGGCCTTGGAGGAAGTGTTAAAATATGGTTTTACGACAGAAGCAGGTGCACGAGTTGATGTCCCACGTATTGTTGTGATTGTAACTGATGGTTGGTCTAGAGACCCTACGAAAACACTTATAAATGCACAAAAAGTCAAGGACGCAGGAATAATTATGTTTTCAATAGGTAATAATAAGTTGTTGCTTTGATTTCTTCCTATTTTTATCTTATGAAGAACATAAAGTTATATAGCAATATGTATGGAAGAGAATATCCGCCATTATTATTTATTTCTTAATTTGTTAAATGCAATTTCTTAATTTGTAAGATGCAATTTCTTAATTTGTAAAATGTAATTTCTTAATTTGTAACATGTTTTTTCTACATCCGCTACATAAATTTCTACATTTCTTGATTTGTGAAATGTAACTTCTTCATGTGTAAATGCAATTTCATAATTTGTTAGCGTGTTTTCTTCGTTCGCTACATGAAACTCTACATTTCTTAATTTGTGAAATGTAATTTCTTTGTTTGAGTCACGTTACTGGGAGAATGTGTCAGTGTAATTGTTACCGCTGCAAGCCAATACGAAGTTCCGTTTCTCAAGAAAAATACAAGTTAAAAATCAACAAGTTACAAATGAAGAAGTTTTACATATCAAGAAATTTTACAAATCAAGAATTAAATAGTTCCACTCTATTCCACTCGAGTTCGCTGTTGATCCATGTCTACTCGTACCTTCGCCAACTCATATTTCTACCAACTCGTACCCAATATTTTATCATTTATAATTTTTTATGCATCCAAGTTAATATGTTCTTTTATATAATGTAGAAATATATAGATATACTATTTTGACAATCAGCTTCATATTCATGGCACTATATTAGACGAATCTAGAACAGAGCGTACCAGCTCTTCGTCAAGAAATCATGACACGACCACAAAGGGTCTGACTCTAGTGCTACCCCACATAGCAAAAGACAGCGACAGGGACCGTCCCCTCGTCCACCGAACGCAAATGCTTCTTAAATGGTTGTGTGCTGAAGAAAAGACTAATGTCTCCTGATTTCATTGACATTTTGCTTGGACATATATCTGTATTTTTGTTGATGTTTACTAGCTAGATAATTTAAACCTACCAGACGATTATATCTATGTTTTTGGACTATTTTTAATTCCTGTGTAGCCTTTATCGCTTCAAAAATATTCGAAATGCCTTCACATATAAACTATTTAGCAGATCCTCTTGAATACATGTTAAACGTAAAAATCAGTAAACAAAAGATCCATAGAATAAGATAGAAGGATATTTTTTACTGATTTTTACGTTGAACATGTGTTCAAGAGGATCTGCTAGTTAGTTTATGTACGAAGGCCTTTCTAATTATTTTGAAGCGATAAAGCCTGCACAGGAATTAAACATAGTCCAAATGTTTTTACGTATACAGTTATTTAGATACTATAACAGATACGCCGAGCTTGGCTTTTACAAAGTTAATAAGTAAAACTCATGGACTTTGGTGCAGCATTTATCCGAAATCTGTGTTTTCATAAACCCTTCTATGTTTGTTTTTCATCTAAACAACCGCATTCTATTTTTTAAGGTCCGAGCCTATTATCCACCAATCAGGCGCGGATCCAGCCATTTTTAAAAGGGAACCAACACATACAAGTCATATAAAAAAGGGGGGTTCCAACCATATGTCCCCATACAAAACCATTAGCTGTCAAACAAATAGGGGGTTTCAAAATAATATTGTTATCGTTCAAACAATTTCATAAAATCACTTACTTCTAAAGACGAATGACTTTACTTTCAATATTTCTGATTTGAAAACAAATTGCATCAGAATACCAATAAATAAAGTTGTACTTTATTGTATTTTGTATATTATGCAAGAGAACATGCAAATTTTAATTTGTTGCGTATCTGTATCTGTATCCAATTAAATTCTGTCAATATAGGCACACCTCCGTGTATGGAGTAAAACAATAAAATAGTTCCACCACCGCAATAGGATATGAATATTATTCCACCAATATATTTACACTTTAAGCATTATGTACACAGTTCACAGTTTCAATTACGATACTAATTTATCCTTGTTATTAATAAATAGTGGGTACGAGTTGGTAAAAGTACGAGTTGGTAAAAGTACGAGTTGGTAAATATTTGGTACGAGTTGGCTAAGGTACGATTTGACATAGATCTACAGCGACATCGTGCGGAATATTGTGGCACTATTTTATTCTTGATTTGTAAAACTTCTTGATATGTAAAACTTCTTGATTTGAACTTCTTGATTTTTAACTTGAAGTTTTAGAAATTGCATTTTTACATTAAGAAGTTACATTTCACAAATCAAGAAATGTAGAAATTCATGTAACGGATGTAGAAAATACATGTTACAAATTAGGAAATTACATTTTGCAAATTAAGAAATTGCATGTTACAAATTAAGAAATTGTATTTTACAAATTAAGAAATGAAAAAAATATGGGCGAATATTCCCTTCCATAAATATGTAGATGATAGAGTTTAGATATCTTATACAGGTATGACAATATTGATATGATAAAAATTACTAAATAACTGTAACTGTTATTGATTATGTTTTTAATTGATGTGGACATGAATAACACGTGTTTCTATTGTTTCAGGTGTTGGCCACTATCTAGATGAAGATGAACTTAAAGCCATGTCTTCTGATCCGGTAGAAAATCATTCATTTATGGTAGAAGATTATAGCGCCTTAGAGAGTATTCAGAACTCTGTGGCCTCCAAAGTTTGCACGGGTATTTTGTTTTTCTAGACAATATTATATAATTTGTAAAAAGATATGAACTTCGATATAAACTATAAAAACGTACGACCTGCTCTATTGTAATCTGTACAAAAAATAATATCGGCTTCAAAGGCACCGGTTGTAAACCAAAAATACTCCGATTGTAGTTTTGTTGTAACGGTAAAATTCGCATCAGACATTATTTTTAATGTTTTCACTCATCATATTACATCCTAAAGTATCAAACAATAAGAAATTAAAAAAAGTGTGAGTAAACATAGCTTTATTGGAATCCGGAGTTAAAAAACATCTTCTACATTGTCTAGAGGTATAGGGGAGGGTAGAAATCTCACAACACATGTTTAACCCCGCCGCATTTTTGTGCAGGAGCCTCTGTCCTTTGTTAGTCTTGTATGTTTTTTTTATTTTAGTTCATTTATATGTTTCGGAGTTTAGTGTGACGTTCATTTTCACTGAACTAGTACATATTTTTGTTTAGGGGCCAGCTGAAGCCCGCTTCCGGGTGCGGATTTTCTTCGCTGTGTTGAAGACCCATTGGTGGCCTTGGACTGTTTTCTGCTCTTTGGTCGGGTTGTTGTCTCTTTGACACATTCCCCATTTCCATTCTCAATTTTATCTTGTGTTAACAATGCAGACTTGAAAAATGAACATATGCCTGTACCGTGTGGCCAATTGTATATTGCATACATTCTTGTATATTTGTGAATGGATTCAATGAAGACGACCAAACATATTCTAGAATTGACTCATCAAAGATACCAGGCTTATAATTTGTTACGCCAGAGGCTCGCGTTTTGTCTACATAAGACTCATCAGTGACGCTCGAATCAAAACAGTTCGAAGGCCAATTCAAACACCAAGTTAAAGAGCATGAAATAACGAAAATTCCGAAATGTTGTGCCAAATACGGACAAGACAATCTTTTCCTGTTGTAGAAAAACCTTGGTATTTTATGTATTTCAACATTTTATAAACAGTAAATTTGCAGAATTAGAACATATTAAGGTTATTTCATGTCAACGCAAAGGTGCGAACTACTGGGCGGTGATACCCTAGAGGAGGAAACCTCATCAGCAGTGGCAGTGACCCAGTGGATGTAAAAACCTATCAAAGATACCGTCTTAGTTTTAACAAATTTTAGCTCGAATAAATGTATTTGTATAATTTTTGATCAAATATAGTACAATTCGTGAACATAAAGTCATGATGAATTTGTTACATACTTTTGAAGGTGTATATGATCTTAGTCCAAAACCAATGTGTTCCCTACGTTTTTTAATGAAACATGAAGGTGAGGAGGGGGCATCACCTATGTCTTACAAACATAACAAACCTCAAGGGCAAACATCAAATTGCCTTTCCCTCATATATATACAGCGGCCACAGTAAGGTTATTTGGTCAAATGGAAAATAAGATGTACAACCCTCAAACTATCATGCATTTTAAAGAACACAACTATTGATTTTGATTTAATAGGTACTTTTTTTACGGTGAATTCATTGGTTCCTGTTTTCAGACTAATAAGATGAACAGCCCCCAAACTATCATGCATTTGAAAGAACACTATTATTGATTTAGATTTAATAGGTACTTTTTTACGGTAAATTCACTGGTTCCTGTCTTCAGACTAGTTTTGTTTTTGCTACCTCGCGATGGTGTTTTACTTTTCTTTTTTTCATCTCAATTTATTGTTGTCATTGTAATTCATTGTTGTCATTGTAATTTATTGTTGTCATTGTAATTTATTGTTATCATTGTAATTTATTGTTGTCATTGTAATGGTTGTGTTTAAGACGATGACAACTTTCAAATACAGTCAGCATTTAGGAATTTTCCCCATTTGCGTCATAGTGGCTAGTCGTTAGCATATTTCAGTCAAAGATTATATATTTAGCTAAAATAGGAGAAATAAAACGTTATGTGAATACGAATATCACATTTTGACACAAAATGACTGATAACTCTCAGTTTTCGGTGAGGTTCGTGTTCCTCGGTCTTTAGATAACGGTGTAGTACTTTTTTTAACCTGTTTGTCTTTTCGTTGTTTCTTTTACCATGACACTGCCAGTCTCACCCGACTTATGAGTTTTTAATGTCTCCTATTTATCTTCTGCCGTTTTAAATTCAAACAAATGACATTATTTAAAATCATAAAATGTTCGTATTCTAGTCTGGCAAGCAAACGCGAGACAATATATAGGATATCTTATATCTAAAAAAAATAGATAAAACATTAAAAACTCTCGAGAAGGTTAATTTGGTTAGGTAGTTATTATTCCATTTTTGCAACATACACATTATCAATAATAATGATAAATAAATGAAATTATTGTTTTAATGAATTTTATATTTTAGTGAACCCATCAGTGAGGCCTGTACAACCGATAATTGACCCGAGCAGAGTAAATAGTATCTTTGGACCTAAAAGGAATAACTTCATAAACAAAGCAGAAAGGAGAAAGGAGAATTTAGATCAAGAAGATATATTGTCTCTTTTGGAAAAGGCACTAAAAAGACGACTTGACAGGAACGATTGAACTTTTAGAATGTAGAATGAAAAATTAGATATATTAGCCGAACTATGAACACAGTACAAGCTTTTAGAAACTTATAATTATAATGCACATTGTTTTATACATTTATAAACCTACATCATAGTGATTTTTTTCAGAATTTAATTCAATATATGTTTTTTTAATTAGGTTTGTAAAATTTGTGTATTTGTATATAATATTTTGTCTATTGTACATTGGCATACTTGATATCTTCAGTGGAAAGTAATTCTCATAGTTAATGTGTGTGATTATTGTAATAACATGTAGAAGAATGGTGATATTTGTTTATAACATTTTGGCTCTGTCATGTTAGTTAGTCTGCTGGCTTTCGACGTAAGAACGACATCTGTGATAGCAGCACTGGACCTTTACATCACGTGGAAACTAGATGTGAACAATGCTATGGTGAAATATGGCATTGTTGTCGGTGTATTGACAGGTCTGGATCAACTGGCGACTGGCACATATAAATTTCGAAGCTCCATTTTATATAGCAGTTCGTTTTGCTCTATCAACCTTACTTTCTTAGCGAAAAAAAATATCCAAATATGGTAACGATCCTAGTTAGGGACAAAATGTTAGGTTATTTAAGTAACAGTTTTTCTTTTTCACATTTCCCATTTTTAAATCAATAAATTAATTTTCAAATATTCTTTTATTTACTTGTTCCCCTAAAGAATATTAAGCAGTTGACAACCGAAATTGTAAACACTATAATATAATCTGATTATTTAGACATTGATCCTAAGCACAACATGAGTTTCTTTGAACTTCTTTTCTCTAGTACTTTTGTCTGAAAGAATATATGAAGTAGGTACAAATATTGATAAAGAAAAAGTTTACCTTTCTGAAACAACATACAAGGTATATAAGTAATAACTCTTACACCCTGAATGTCCAAATATTATGTCAAATATTATCACTAATGATTATAAGTTTTGAATCGCATTTATTCTTTTTTTATAAAGCAGCAATATTTCCTTTGGATTTTTTTTCAACAACTTTTGTCATTTTTTGCAGAGATGCTTTTCGTGGTATGAAATTGATATCAGTTGTGCATCGGTTTAAGTTGATTTTACGATAGGTGTGACTAGAACTGGTCAATTGGCCGGTTAAACAAATGGTTACATAAAAATAATTGTACTTCAAGATCAAAACATGCATTTTTTCCTTATTTAGATTATGCATGTTTAGTACGTCACACAGTCTGTGGTCGATTGTCCAAGATATAATAACAAGATTTTTTTATAGTAGAATAGCCAATGAAAAAAAACATTTGAGAAATTTCATGCGTCCGGATCGCTTTTCTAGATTAACTGTATTCAGGAACGCCCATAGCCGAATAGTTGAAAGCCAATGTATAGTAATCGAAACAGGGGAAAAGCTCTATGACCAAAAAGGACCTGAAAATAATAGCCAAATAATGAATTCTAATGAGATCGCTTAACCCGAGTCAAAATCATTCGTATGAATTAATACATTAAAGACAAATCAAAACAAACAAAAGATAAAATTGAGAATGGAAACGGGGAATGTGTCAAAGAGACAACAACCCGACCAAAGAGCAGAAAACAGCCCAAGGCCACCAATGGGTCTTCAACACAGCGAGAAAATCCCGCACCCGGAGACGTGCTTCAGCTGGCCCCTAAACACAAATATGTACTAGTTCAGTAATAATGGACGTCGTACTAAACTCCGAAATATATAAAAGAAACTAAAATTAAAAATCATACAAGACTAACAAAGGCCAGAGGCTCCTGACTTGGGGACCCCCAAGGGTGACTGGGGAATAGAAGTATGGTCACCATTGGTCTTCCTCCGACCGGCAGTAAAACCCGTGCTAAAGTGGGGCGTCCGTTTGGCTGTGCGGGATGTACAAATTTGCAGCCACGTCCGGTCAGAATGGGGACGTTAAATCCGATGCCTCGTGTAAAGAGAGTGCCACGCTCTTTGCACGTTAAGAACCCTTGCAACAACTATTTGAGGGGTCCGTAGGTGACCTGTTGGAAGGCTAGATTTCTGTCCCTATCCAATATACCCTCATTTCCCGTGGCAGTCTAAATTTCTCCGACCTTAACCCCTTAATCTATTACAGAACCTACCTATTGTATTTATTGTGAACTTGTTCTCGTCCTGAATATGCATGAAATATTTGCCACTGGACGTTAAGCAACCAACAATCAATCAATCAATCCTGACTTGGGACAGGCGCAAAAATGCGGCGGGGTTAAACATGTTTTTGAGATCTCAACCCTTCCCCTATATCTCTAACCAATGTAGAAGAAACAAACACACAGCAATACGCACAGTAGAACTCAGTTTAAAAGAAGCCCGAGTCCGATGTCAGAATAGGTAACAAAAGAAACTAAACAAAATGACAATGATACATAAATTAACAAAGGACTACTAGCAGTTACTGACATGTCAGCTTCAGACCTCAATTAAACTGATTAAAAGATTATGTCTTCATCATATGAATATCAGGCACAATCCTTCCCGTTAGGGGTTTAGTATCATACCATCATAAAATATATGAAAAGAACATAACCCGTATCATGTCAACAACTGGTTTTAGAATAAATGTGTTTATTTCCGATGAAAAGACCCTATAAGTGAATCAATAATAAAGCCAAAATATGCCATCTTTAATGACCTGACAACAGTATCGTAACTATATCCCTTCCTAATAAGTCTGCTTAAAGGTTTTGTAAGCTTTAGAGGTGAATGCCGACATTTTTGTGCTTTGTAAAAAATATTACCATAAAAGATTGGATGTGAAATACCTGAACGTATAAGATGTCTGCATGTTGATTTATATTTACGAATGATGTCCTTGTACCGATGATAAACTTAAGTAAATGTTTTGACTAGTTTGTGATATCGAAAACTGTGGTGTAATAATTTTCAGTAATAAATAGATTTCTTTCGCTAAAATCTAATACGTTGTTACATACACGAGCGAATCGTACAAGTTGAGATATATAAACACTATAAGATGGTGACAAGGGAACGTCACCATCTTAAAATGGATAATTAACAATAGGAAATGAAAAAGGATCTCTTTTATCATGAAATTTGGTGTTAAGCTTCCCGTTAATGATATAGATATCAAGATCCAAGAAAGGGCAGTGGTCATTGTTAGTATTACCTTTATTCAAAGTTAGTTCAACAGGATAAATCTCTTTAGTGTACATACTGAAATCGTCATTATTGAGAGCCAATATATCATCCAAATATCTAAAGGTATTATTACATTTCTGTATCAGATGTTGTTTCGATGGGTCTTTGCTGATTTTAGTCATAAATTGTAACTCATAACAATACAGAAACAGGTCCGCTATAAGTGGTGCACAGTTAGTCCCCATTGGAATTCCGATAACTTGACGATATACGGAATCTCCAAAGCGAACAAAAAAGTTATCTAATAAAAATTCAAGGGCAGTTATAGTATCAAAGCATGTCCAATTGACATAGTTCTTTTGTTTGTTGTTACTAAAAATGACCTAAAATAGTTTGAACATATGTACTCGCATTCTGACTTTTAAATGCCCATTAAATTAGGCGTGTAAATTTTTTCTCAATAAGAATATGAGGCAAAGTGGTATATAGGGTAGAAAAATCAAAACTTTGAACAGATTCAAAATCACCAATATAAGCATGCAATTTATCAAGTACTTCCAACGATTATTTTACACTCCAAAAGTAATTAATTCCACTATTTTCAAAGGCCTCATTTGAACAATTTATTATCAGGTTTTTGATTGTACCAAGTGTACTAGTAAGAAGAATAGACAGTTTAGTATAGGAACAATGGCTTGAAGACGAAATAAATCTATATTTGTAAGGTGTTTTATGCAGCTTCGGAAGCCAATACATAGTTGGAACTTTCATTGTATTTGGTTCTGCTTGTAAAGAAGTAGCTAAAAGTTTGTGTTTGTTACAGATGTCATTTACCGAAAATGGAGTCAGTTGGAATATTGGTGAATTCGTGATTTCCTTTTGCAGAACCTCAATGTAAAATTTACGTCAAACAATAATGATATTATTAGCAGCTTTATCAGCCGGGACAAAAACAAATTCCTTGTCGAGTTCTTTTAGTTTATGTTTGATACGAGAAATTGAGTTATTATGGTTGTTATTAGGAGTCAAATGTTCTTTAAAATGTTGTATACGTATATCAACTATGTTCATTACTGAATTAAAAAAAGAGTCCAAAGATTTCTTGTCAGCTTTTTCTCGTTTTATCCATTTCAAGCAGTAAGTTTGGAGTGAGTCGTGGATGATATTACGACACTCATTCCAATTAATAATTGACGGGGAACGATATTTAGGTCCTTTACTAAGGAATGAATTCATCTCTCGGTCACGAACGATGTTAAGGTTTCCTGTTATAACATGGGATACATAATTTCATTTTTATTTGAAAATTCGTGTTATATACATATACATTAATTGCTGTTTGCCCACAATTCATATATTTAGAATCAATTTGTTCTACTTATATACATATCTAAAACTATGTTTACAGTGAAAAGTATGAAACGTTTTGAGTTGAAACAAATAGTATCAAAAGCTGTATCAGTTCTTCCATATGTCAATAACTCTTTTATGAGACTGCAATAAATTCGAATTAGTAATAAAGTTTACACGATAGCTGCTCTCTTTACATAACAATCCAAGACCTTTTTACATAACCATTTAACAACACATTTATCAATATATAAAATTAAAAAAAATGACGCAACAAAAATATGAGTTCATGTATACATTAAGGAAAAGCTTGTAACACATATTTTTTTGTTACGATACGTTTATCAATTATAAAATTCACAATTTCATATGAAGTTGAAGCGGGAAATTCCGAAAATTCTAGTATTACGGAATCAAAACGCTTTGATAAAACGCAAAACTGATTTCAGTTCCATGAAAAAGTTTTCATTTTACAGTGTTATAGAAATGATACTTAAATGGTTAACCATAAGCGTGAACGTATGTAGTTTTCTCTCTATTCCTACTTGCGTTTGCTTAAACTGATATGACACAATAAAAATATGCAAATTCTGCGAGAATAACGATTGAGAATGTAACCAGGAGAACTTTATTTACCATTCTCGCAATCTTCTTCCAAGTTGATTTATTTTCGACTTCAAAATGTTTCTCGAGCGGTTCGACCATGTTTTCCTTAGATTTCCAATTTGTTATCCAGTCAACCCATTTGGGAGTTGCGCATGTTTCATCCTCTTTTCTGTAAATGTAATGAATAAACAAAACACATACTGTAATTACTGTACTAAAAACCAACTGCAGGAGCAAAAACGTATTGAAATGAGATAACTTGTCCGTGGCCGGAAGTTCATCTGTAACCATCGTCATGAAAACAGTAAACGTCAGCAGCATTGTCACAGAAAATGCAACTCTGTCGGAAGAGTCAAGCGGCAGTAGAAATACCAGCAGGTTTGCGAGACTTATGATGTATACCGGAACTACTAGGTTCATCATCATGAATAGAGGTTTTCGCTCGAGCTTGATAGTATATGTCAGCTGTGACCACGTGATATCAGCATGCAGTGGTTCTGAAGTCAAGGAAGTCTCCTTAATCTTAAATTCTGAATGCATACTTGTAGAGTTAATAGATACACCCTTACTTTTAGAAATAAGTTGTATATCTCTCATCGGTTCAAGGGCATCTAGTTGAACAACACAATCATGAACGTCAAAAGGAAATTTGCTTACATCACTATTACAACTGGTCTCCCAGACACCAGAACTAGAAATACTGGCAGCTCCGTTTTCCAAATATGTTACATAAATCATTTTGCTGTCAAAATAATTGTCAAATTTATATATGGAATGATATGAAATGCTGTTTCCAATGACAATCTTTGGAACCCACACATCGTGTATTGAAAGTTGTACCATATCAATATAACCATGGTCACTTTTATTCCACATTATCATTTCGTCCCACCATGTTAGTTTGAATTTTCCCTGGAAGATGAAAACACCAGATTTTTCATCATAGTCTATGACTGCGTTTATATTGAACTCGACGTTGACATTGACGACGTCAGCACTTAACTGTCTTGGTTTAACATGCCTTGTATAATTTGAAAGAGCTGTATCGTAGAGTCGTCTTGCAAACTGATAGTTCATACTTCTACAAGGAATGGCAATAACAATCAAAATCAACAAACTATGGAAGACCGTCATTTTTTAAACGCAATGATCTGCTGAAATAACATATCAAACAAAACGGCAGTCACAATAAGTTAGTTAATTTGATTTTCATACTAAAATAACATACACCTGCTTATATAGTGTCAGAACTGTCACGTGCTGTTTGCTAGTGGGCTGTATTAATTATACAATGACGTTTTTTGTTTGTTTAATATTTAATGAGAATTGATTACTCGGAATAATGAAAAGGAAAATAAAGTAAATATTCATTAGATGATAAAGTCCAGAATATGTATAAAAGTTTATTGAAAAGTTATTACTGTATTCTAATAAGGTTATCAACATATTTATCTAACTATTGATTTGAAACTAAAAAAATATTCAATGCAAGTACAGTGTAATTATCTGAATTTCTAAGTGTTCTATTGTTAAAGTTTAATTAAATAATGTAGTTACAATGTCACGAATTTGATTTTCAATAGACTATGTTCCAATCGAAAGCATTATAAGTAATTAGGAATATGACAGGCTTCATCTACTGTGTGTTTGGTTCTATTTTTCATGATAATTACTGATTCAAATAAGTTGCAATGAATCTCCCAAAGAGTAAATACGATTTAGAAGCGACAAAGTACTGTAAACAATGTCATTAGATAAAACAAAAACTCTTAGACAGGTCTTAAAAGGAAACAAATCTACAAGTTATTTAAAAACACATACTTATTCTGGAAAAAAAAAACTTTATCTGTATAAATATCGTCGATGTTTTTTGTTATTTTTATAGTTTGGTTGTTGTCTTATCAACGTTTATCCCACACCTTTTATTTAGAAAAATGTTATTGATAAGATTAATGTTACATGGCGTACACACCGGGAGTAAACGTTGTTAGCAATATAGCTTATTACATTGCCGCCCGCTGAATGTATATGACATTAATACCGATGATTTTTTATTACAATTCGAGTAATTCACATGAAATGCAGATATTGATGTAGGGGAAATATATTGCTAGTAACGGAAAGCTCAAACAGAAAGCGGTTGATTGGTGTATGCAAACTATTACATTTTTTGTACAATAGTTGATTGGTGTATGCAAACCGATAAAATAGTTGATTGATATTCTTTGCAGTCTGATTAAATGTTAACTGTTGTTCCTATAATAAATGCTATCTACATTTCAGTGCTACCGTACTTGAAGTAAAAGTATACATAAAGGTTCCGATGAGAAAAAGAATGAAACACGCAGCGCAAAGGTAATAACTCGTCAAAAGGAAACTATAGTTATATATGGGATTCCGTTGGAAGGTACAATTATAAGGAAGGAGAAGTTTGTAATATTGTTTCGGAAAGATTAATTTGATTTTATCTGTTTCATAGAAATATGTTAAGTTTGTCTTTTCTTTTCTTATAAAGAAATGTGTTGATCATGTTATATTTTTAAAACTTCAACAAAATTATAATAATTTGAATAATAAAGGAAATTTTTAAGATACAGAAGTATCTCACGATGGGCATGGCTAATATTCGTTATTTGATCATGCCTTCTGGGGATCAAGAAAGAGATAGATCTTTTGCTTTTGGCAAAATATTATTGCAGTATTTCATCACAAAGTTGTAATGAAACTATTGAAGAATTGACAAGGATATAGAATATTTGACCAATACCGGGGTAACCGACGCAATTAGACCTTAAAATAGTGGACCTTCAAAATCATTAAGAAATAAATACTGGAACCAGTCTTAACATAGTTCTGTACATTAACATAATGATAGGCTAACCAATGGCAAATTTTGAATATTATAATTTCTGTTGATGATATATTGCACATTAAATGTTGGTGAAAAAAACTAATCATAAATACCAGGCTTATAATTTTGTACGACAGACGCTCGGTTCGTCGAACAAAGACTCATCAGTGACGCTCTAATAAAAAAAAATAAAAGGTCAAACAAAGTACGAATTTGAAGTGCAACTACAGCGTTGGTAGATTTAATAATAATACTTTTTAATAGAAATATATTGAGTTTGTCTATTCATTTCTCATTAAGAAATGTGTTGATGATGTTGTAGTCCGCATCACCTTTTTCAAGTGTATATTGAATCAATCATATGTTAATCCATGTAATTAAATATCCGAGGATCATAGGCTAGTGTAATCCTTTCTTTTATGTCCATATAATCTGTCACGTTTTTTATATTGATTTTGACAAAATTAGACATATTTCGACAATAACAAAATAGTTATTCATATTTGTACATAGAAAATACAACGATTGGAAAACATAAGCTTATAAACAAAACGAAGAAGTCTAGGGGCATACAAACTTAGGATAAAACAATCGATATTAATCAAAAAGTTGAAATTACATCTGGTGCAATTAATATAGTTATATTGTGACCAATAAGTTCGAAAGTAATATTATTTGTTCTACTCAAGGTAATAAGGGAGTATTCCCTAAAGAATAAAAGGATTTTGCATCTTTGGGTGACTGTCTCATTGACATATAATTCACATCCATTTTGATTTATTTAAAGGTCATACAAAAAAGACAACCAATGTCGAGGTTTCTGACTTTGGTCAGACGCATGCCCTGAGGCGGGGTTTAATCAGTTTTTTAAACACTTCCCCTCCCCCTATAGTTTCGATCAATGGAATAAAACAAGATACCATAAAAGAACATACAATAAATGTTCATAATCCGAAATCGGATGGTTTAGAAACTCAAATATTATATTTTTTTTTTAATACTGATGTTGATCTCGATGTCTGTAATCAACAGACGAATATAGTTGAAGGAGAAAAAGAGTGGCAGAAAATTGAGCAATGTACTTAAATGATGAACTTCAATTATATCATTCAAAGTTATGACTTTATTTGGTTACAAACTTTAAGTTAGCTTGTTCAATGTGCAGTTCACCGATTTCATCCATTAAATTGTTTAAAAAGGCTCCAACCACACATTCAAAGTTGAAAGTTTAACATAAAATATTGAATCAAGCATCTTATTTACTTTTTATGCGTATTTGTAGAGAACCAAGGCAATCGTTCGGGTTGTGACGTGACTAAACCGTGACCTACTCTTCCAAAACATGACAAAGTCACAGTACTAAACAATCCTCGATATAACGACGTAACAACATGTGGCCACTTAACAAGAATAATTCTCATCAATATTATCAGTTCAAATCTTTCTAGATTTTTCAACTCATAATAAATATAATGTCATACAAACAGAACGATATAATTGTTATACATATCACCAGGTTTATACTTACATGAGCAGCACGATCTGTTTGCCATTATAAAGCATCCTAGTACAAATTTGAATTCCGATATCTAATAATAGACATTCGAATCCATTTATACAAATTAAAATCCTTTACAAATCAAAATTAAATATCTACAAATAGAAATTGGGATATCCAGATTTGTACTAGGAAGATGATCCTGGATTGTACTAGATGCCTACTTTGAAATAAACAGTAATAACAATATGTTGATTTACATAATTCCAATTTGTACTGTAACATATACAATGCCATTTTTGCATGATTGATTCTGCAAGCAGACTCGGGCGGAATATCTTCTTTCCTTTTAAAGAACCATCAATAAGTTATATATTGGAATAAGAAGTATTGTGAGATGGAGAAATTAGAAATGAGTAAAAATCGTGGCCAGGTTGGTTTTCAGTAATGAATCCTCAACACCTGTCACTTGCCATAATAATTACAGTATTGCCATAATATTCACCGTATTGCCATAATATTTACAGTTTTGCCATAATATTCACAGTACCATGTTCAAAGATGTTTATTTATTCTAGTGTATGTTTGTTTCAGTCCACTTCCAAAGTGTTGGTTTTTATTACCTTTTTAATAATTTATTAAAACAAAACATTTTTATCACGGTGATGAAGTAAGAAACAGTTGTTCTACTTGTTCTTTCTCATTTGAATTTCAGATATATTTGCATGGGAATCATTTTTACGTAGGAAAATGCTGGATAGACGACTTTCACATTTTGCTGTATATCCCCGATGTTTCAATGCAAATTCAACTAAGTCATAGAAAAAAGATTCGAGTTTTCAATGACGTTATTTACATCGATTAACATCGTTTCAACCCGCATAACTCATTCATAAAAGGGTAACCGAAAATGGTCCATACGTATAATACTTTCAAAAAATAACCAAGATCTTTTACTTAATTTAAATAAAGTTATCACCATATGTATTTAACTTATAATTGCTGTTATTAATGTTTCCGAATATTCATTGGTCGGAAATTATTTTGAATGAAGCAATTATGCATACACTCTAATTTTCAATATATTGTTTTGGTAATACAAACACAGTTAACCTTAAGTAAATTCATATTTATACTATCGATATTTTTCTTTGTGTAAAATGAATATTCAATAGTTACTGAAGGGAGTAATCACCCATTACCTTAAAACTCTGCATTATGTGTCTTACAAACAGCAAAAAAATATAATCGTTTTAAATATCAATCAATAAAGATATTCCAAGCAGTATGTGTTGAAAATGCTAGATAATTTTAGACGAGTTAGAGATTGCCTAGATACAGGTTGCATATACAAGAAAACTATCGTGGAAAGTTCAGTCTACGTACATCAAGAATATTTACATATTCAGGTTTGATCGGCATATCACTTGGAACAATTATGTGATGTAATGATGTATTGATGAATGAGACCCATATGCGTAGACCTAAACAGTATGTTATAGTTCCTTTACATATCTTATGCTTGTTTAATGAAAACAAGCTAAATTCATCTAAATTTCTTTGTACAAATTTGCTTCGATCGTCTTGACCAGCACTGACACGCTTTATTTTGGAACTATCTCATTGAAAAAGAGGAACGAAAGATACCAGAGGGACAGTGAAACTCATTGATCGAAAACAAACTGACAACGCCATGGCCAAAAATAAAAATTACTTTGACTATATACGGCATACATTAATCTACATATTCTTTGAACAATTCAAAGGAGAGAGAAGCACTGGGTATCTATATACACAGAAAGGAAAAAGGTCACATTATCTTAAATATGCATTTCAATG